TTTTGTGATGATAGGATATTGTAGATACATTATCCAAACTGTTAGCAAAGTGTAGATACATTATCCGTTGTGATACGATAGTTTAGATACATTATCCGTTGTGATAGGATAATCTAGATACATTATCTGTGGTGATAGGATAATGAAGATACATTTTCTGTGGTGATAGGATGATGTAGATACATTATCCATGGTTACTGCATAATGTAGATACATTATCCATGCTGATAGGATGATGCAGATACATTATTCGTGGAATTAGGATAATGTAGATACATTATCTGTAGTGATAGGATATATAGATACATTATCCACGTTGTTGGGATAATGTAGATACATTATCCGCAGTGATGGGATATTGAAGATGCATCATCCACTCCGTTAGGACAGTATAGATGCTTTTAGGATAATGTAGATACATTATCTACCCTGTTAACATGGTGTAGATACATTATCTACGTTGTTAGGATAATGGAGATACATTATCCTAGATTAAAGCTACCTACAGAACTATGACATTTCTTCCAAAATTAAAACAAGTTAAAGACTTGTAATTGCCACAAACTCAAACTTGTATCTTCATGCAGATAATTGTGCTGACTTATTAACTTCCGATAATTTAGAACAGCTAACAATTACCCAGTCCTTCTGCACGATTTCCGATTTAGACATTTTCGGCTAAATACATCGAATATGAAAAAAGAAACCAGGAACAATTACATGTAACAATTATCCTCGTTTCACAGTTCAATCGAATGTCCTGCAATGCTGGAAATTTGCCCCGAGGCCACTTTCCAGGAACAATCACCAGCAATCAAAGGGGAATTTAAAAGGACCAAAACCTTAGTAATGCAATACCTCTATTATTTCTTTTGAGGGGCAAGGACAAATGAACAATTCGCTTTGAAAGCTATGTCAAACGGAAAGCAATGTCCTTTCTTTTAGGATAACAAAGGAGATGTCAGCACGTGTATGATGCTAATTTGTTGTACAATTGGAATCACGCCAACCACCTTTTACAAGTAATTGCTCTCTGTCTTCCTCTCTCTCTCTTTCTCTCCCTTTTGATGAAGAGCAATTACTGTGTTACACATGTAGTTCTCTGCCAAGCATTGAGTTATAATTGGAAATTTAGGAACAGCTTTTTGAATTTTCTAAAATTCAATAGAAATTATTTGAAGCTAAAACGTTTGCCGGAAGCTATCGAGCAATTTGAGAAATAATTGAAGCATTTTGTCACCTTCAATTATGGCCATTGTCGAACGGTCTCAATTTACATAAATAAATACATAGATGTGTGTGTAATGTAATTTGTTCTTTGCCTTTACAATTCCCTCTGCTGAGAGTGAGAAGATAAAAAAGGCACAACTTCTAAGAGTATAATTTCAAATCTATTCGGCTTGAAGGATTTTTCGTTTGAGTTTAAATTCAAATCCAAATTTTTAAAAAATATTTTTTCTTAAATACTACATAAACTAATCAAACCTTGCCTTACTTACCCGTGTCCGGTTTGAGGGACTATATGTTTTGATATTTCGTTTGGGTTTGGATTCAAATATTATTTTATTTAAACATATTTTTCTTAAGTACCACATAAACTAATCAAACTTTACCTAACTTATCACTGTCCGACTTAAAGGATTATATGTTTTGAGAAAAATATATAGAATCTTGTCCATAATCTGATCAATAAACACAAGTTCACTCACATCCGGTGCTGTCATAGACCCCCAAAAATTAAAGCCCTCCAAGCAGCGTATTTCACTGTGCCTACTTTAAGGTGAGATTACATAAAACACTTTCTTGTCTGGCTTAAGTCATCGGCTGGTTTCTTCGAAGCAAGAGAACAAAGGAGCGTAGGGCCAAAATCGAACTTAATCAACCTAAAACTCCTTTGTATCTCTACCAAGAAGCCAGACGAAGACCTAAGTCAGAACAAAAAAACTTTTCACCTTTATCGTTTTTTTTTTTTTCTTCAAAGTTCAGCCAGCTCCTCTGTACCAAGAGTCTGGCCAATCACCTTCTCTATGCCGAGAATCTGACCAGCCAGGTTCTCTGTAACGAAAGTCCGGCCAGCCAACTTTTCCACACCGAGAGTCTGTGCAGCTAGCTTCTCTGTACCGAAAGTCTGTATAGCCAGCTTCTCTGTAACGAAAGTTTGACCAGTCTGCTTCTCTATACCGAAAGTCTGGTCAGCCAACTTTTCCATACCGAGAGTCTGAGCCAGCTTCTCTGTATCTAAAGTCTGGCCAGCCAGCTTTTCCAAACCTAGAGTCTGAGCAGCCAGCTTTTCCATACCTATAGTCTGAGCAGCCAGTTTCTCCATACCGAGAATCTGGGCAGCCATCTTTTCTCTACCGAAAACTTGGCCAGCCAGCTTTTTCATACCAGGAGTCTAACCAGCTATTTCCATACCGAGAATCAGACTAGCCAACTTCCCTGTACCGAAAGTCTGGCCAGCCAGCTTTTCCATACCGAGAGTCTTACCAGCCAACTTCTCTATACCGAAAGTCTAGCCAGCCAGCTTTTCTATGTCGAGAGTCTGGGCAGCCAGCTCTTCTGTACCGAAAGTCAGCCAGCTTCTCTATACCGAAAGTCTGACCAGCCAGCTTTTCCATATCGAGAGTCTGACTAGCCAGTTTCTCTGTATCGAAAGTCTGATCAGTCAGCTTTTCCATACCTAGAGTCGGACCAAACAGCTACCGAGAGTCTGACCAGGCAGATTATCTGTACCGAAAGTATGGCCAGCCAGCTTTTCCATACCGAGAGTTTGGGCAGTCAACTTCTCTCTACCGAAAATTTGGCCAGCCAGCTTTTCCATACCGAGAGTCTGACCAGCCAGCTTTTCCATTCCGATAGTCTGACCAGCCAGCTTCTCTGTATCGAAAGTCTGACCAGCTAGCATTTCCATACCGAGAGTCTGACCAGCCAGATTCTCTGTACCGAAGGTCTGATCAGCCAGCTTCTCTCTAACGAAAGTCTGACCAGCCAGCTTTTCCATACCGAGAGTCTGACCAGCCAGCTTCCATATACCGAAAGTCTAGCCAGACAGCTTTTTCCATACCTAGATCCTGAGCAGCCAGTTTTTCCATACCGAGAGTATGACCAGCCAGTCTTTCTGTATCGAAAGTCTGACCAGCTAGCTTTTCTATATCGAGAGTCTGGTCAGCCACCTTCTCCGTACCGAGAGATCTCCTTAATAAAATCTTAATGTCTGAACAAAAAATAATAAATGCGTTTTCATTAGAGAATAAAACATTGCTCCAGAAGTCTTCTTTCTTGCACTCTCTTTCCCTTGCACTGAGCACCCGTGGTCGCCCAGTCACTTATGAGACTTTCTTTTAGCGATTCTCGCTGTGTACCCAGCACGGTGCAGAGACCTGCGAATTGTTATTGGATGAATTTCCTTACCATATTCCTTGGCAACTTCTGCAGCAGCTATGAGTTGAGGTCATTTTTGGGATATTTTTTAATTTTTCTGACAATTTGAGACTTTTTTCTCTTGTCTCTTATTTGAGACTTTCTTCTAGCGATTCTCGCTTTGTAAGCAGCATGAGGCAGTGGCATGCGAATTGTTATTGGATGAATTTCTTTGCCATATTCCTTGGTTGAGTTGAGTTCATTTTCCTTTGAGTTTAGGTCATTTTTGGGAATTTTTTGACAATTTGAGGCTCTTCCTTTGCACTGAACACCCATGGCCAATTTACATAATAAATACACATGTGCGGATAATGTGATTTCCTCTTCTTTACCTTTAAAACTCCCGCTGGTAAGAGTGAGAAGAGTAAAACGCACACCTTCTAAGAGTATAATTTCAAATCTATTCGATTTGGAGGATTTTTCGTTTGGGCTTAGTTTCCGATCTAATTTTATTTAAAAATATTTTTTTGAAGTACCACATAAGCTTATCTTACTTAACCTAACTTATCGCAGTGTGGCTTGAAGGACAATATATTTTGAGATTTCGTTCGGGTTTAGTCTCAAATCTAATTTTATTTAAAAATATTTTTCTTAAGTACTACATAAACAAATCGAACTTTACCTAACTTATCAGTGTCCGGCTTGAAGGACTAAATGTTTTGAGATTTCGTTTGGTTTCAGATTCAAATCTAATTTTATTTAAAAATATTTTTTCTTAAGTACCACATAAGCTTATCTTACTTAACCTATCACAGTCTGGCTTGAAGGACTATATATTAGAGGTTTCTTTCGGGTTTAGTTTCCGCTCTAATTTTATTGAAAAATATTTTTCTTAAGTACTACATAAACTAATTTAACCTTACCTTGGGACTTCGTTTGGGTTTGGATTCAAATCTAATTTTATTTTAAATTATTTTTCTTAAGTACCACATAAACTAATCTGACCTTATCTAACTTATCACAATCTGGTTGGGGTATCTGATTTTATTTAAAAATATCTTTCTTAAGTACTACATAAACTAATCGAACCTTACATAACTTATCAGTGTCCGGCTTGATGGACTTCATATTCGAGATTTCGTCTGGATGTATAGTTTCAAATCTGATTTTATTTAAAAATATTTTATCCGTTTACGCATTGCATGGGCTACTCATTTTTCATTCAAGTGATCTATTACTGAGCATATCCTATGGCTATGGAATTTTTTCAATATTTATTTTTAATTATTTAATTTTTCCCAATGCCTCCAACGCACTCAAAAATATGTACAAAAATATTTTCTACACCTTCCATCCATGGACGTACTAATACTTCTAATTTCATTTCATAAGTCTTGTGTATATCAAAGTGTTTCAAAATTTGTCTTGAATTTAGTTTGTGTAAAACAAGTGCACCTTTATTTCAATATTTTTTTAAAAAAAAATTGTATACCGTGTCCAAAACTAAACTCAAAATTAACAACCACACCAAAGCTTTGACATGTATGTACCCATCGAATTTCTAACACCTCATGGTCTTTAAAAAAAATATTTTCCCCCATTTTATCCAATTTCTTTCCTCTTTTTTTCCTCATTTCTAGAACCCTGCATAGAATTCCTGCAAAGACAAGCCAATGATTTGGGTCTTCCACTGAAAGTCTATTATCCTGCGGATAAAACCAAACCCATTGTGGTGATAACCTGGCAGGGAACCCAACCGGAATTACCCTCGGTGATATTGAATTCTCACATGGATGTTGTGCCCGTCTTCGAAGATAAATGGACCCATCCCCCATTTGCCGCCGAAATGGATGAAGAGGGTAGAATTTTTGCCCGTGGCTCACAGGACATGAAATGTGTGGGCATGCAATATTTGGCTGCCATACGTGCCTTACGAAAGAAAGGAGTGCAAATGAAGCGTACCATACACGTAACCTTTGTGGCAGGTATGTATTCTTATCGCCTCACAATTTTTATCGCTGCAAATCTTTATGAGTTTAAGATTTTTTTCTGCTCTGAAATTACTCTAATCTTTATAATACCTCGTCGGCGATAATTCCATTTTTTAGCTATTAAATTGTTTTCAATATCCCTTGCAGAGAGAAAATCTTTTCTAGAGATAAGTAGTTTTATGGCCCTAAGATATGGGTGAATATATGTGGCCCAGAGTGATAAGCTAATTTGGTGTTTGTTTGTCTTGAAATGTAAATAAGAAAAGTGAGATGCAATAACACCATTTATTCTAATCTCAAAGTGGCACAACTAGCACAAATAAGATAAAAAAATAGAGATATCTAATGGCAGGGCTTCGTAAATTATTGAGGGTTTGGAAAAAAACGCCATATTCCACTTCTTAGGAGGAGAATACATAAAAAGCTTTTTTGACTGGTTTGAGTCATCGGCTGGCTTCTTCGGAAAAAAGAAAAAAGGAGCATAGGATGAGCAAGTATAAATAATGGGTCCGAAACCCCTCAAAGTTCGGTAAAACACCTCAAAGTTCGGTTTTCGAGAACAAAAAAATATTAACGAACGAAAAATATGAAATTTACTTTCATCCGAGAATTAAACATTGCTTCAGAAGTCTTCTTTCCGGCTTCTCACTTTTTCAATCTCCTTTTTCGGTTAATGTCGCTTATGTGAGGCTTTCTTCTACCGATATCCTGCGTATTGTTATTGGATGAATTTTTTTGCCATATAGCTTGTTAACTTCTGCAGCAACTTTGAATTGAGGTTATTTTTGGGATCATTTCTATTTTTTTTTTTTACAATTTGAGACACTTCTCTTGCACTGTGGACCCTTTGCCACCTCCAAGCACCATGTTTCACTGTGCCTACTTTAAGGTTAGAATACATAAAACGCTTTCTTGTCTGGCTTAAGTAATCGGCTGATTTCTTCGGAAAAGAACGAAGGGGGACTAAATCGAACTTAATCAACCTAAAACTACTTTGTTCCTCTACGAAGAAGCCAGACAAAGACCTAAGCCAGAACAAAAAATCTTTTCAACTTTGTTTTTTTTTTCAAGCTCAGCTAGCTCCTCTGTACCAGAAGTCTGGCCAGCCAGCTTCTCTATGCCGAGAGTCTGGGCAGCCAGCTTCTCTATGCCGAGAGTCTGAGCAGCCAGCTTCTCTGTAACGAAAGTCTGGCCAGCCAGCTTCTTTATCCCGAGAGTCTGCCCAACAAGTTTCTCTGTACTGAAAGTCTTGGCCAGCCAGCTTTTCCATACCGAGAGTCTGACTAGCCAGCTTCTCTAAACCGAAAGTCTGGCCAGCTAGCTTCCCTGTACAAAAAGTCTGGCCAGCCAACTTCTCTATACGGAAAGTGCGGTCAGCCAGCTTTTCCATACCGAGAGCCAGGCCAGCCAGCTTCTCTGTACCGAAAGTCTGGCCAGCCACCTTCTTCGTACCGAGAGTCTTTTTCAATTTTCTGACAATTTGAGACACTTCTCTTGCACTGTGGACCCTTGGTCACCCAGTCGATGCTCGCTTTGTAACCAGCAGGATAGAGTCCTGCGAACTGTTATTGAAAGAATTTCTTTGCCATATTTCTTGTTAACTTCTGCAGCAGCTTTGAGTTGAGGTCATTTTTGGTATCCTTTTTAATTGTTCTGACAATTTAAGACTCTTCTCTAGCACTGAGATAACTTAGTCGCCCAGTCGCTTATGTGAGACTTTCTTCTTCCTTCGAATTGTTATTGGATGAATTTCTTTGCCATATGGCTTGTTAACTTCTGCAGAAACTTTGAGTTGAGGTAATTTTTGGATGCTTTTTAATTTTTCTGACAATTTTAGATTTTTTCTCTTGCCCTTAGCACCCGTGATCACCCAGTTGATACTCGCTTTGTATCCAGCATGATGCAGTGTCCTGCGAATTGTTATTGAATGAATTTCTTTGACATATTCCTTCTTGACTTCTGCAACAACTTTGAATTGAGGTCATTTTAGGGATTCTTTTTAATTTTTCTCGCTTCTTATTAAGCTCTTTGCAATATTTCTTCTTAACTTCTGCAGAAACATGAGGTGAGGTCGTTTTTGGGATCCTTTTTAATTTTTCTGACAATTTGAGACAATTCTCTTGCATTGAGCACCATGCGTGGCCGCCCAGTTCGAGGTTATTTGCTCTGCTAATTTTTCTGACAAATTGAGACTCTTCTCTTGCACTGAGCATCCGTGGTCGCGCAGCCGCTTATGTTAGACTTTCTTCAAGCGATTCTCGTTTTGTAACCAGCATAATTCTTTGTCCGGCAAATTGTTTTTGGATGATCTCCTTCGCCGTATTCCTTGTCAACTTCTGCAGCAACTCGAGTTGATGTTATTTTTGGGATCCTTTTTAATTTTTCTGACAATTTGAGACTCTTCTCTTCTGCAACAACTCGAGTTGAAGTCATTTTTAATTTTTCTAACATTTTGAGACTCTTCTTTTGTCGCTTATTTGAGACTTTCTTCCAGCGATTTGTACCCAGCACGGTGCAGTGTTATTAGATTAATTTCTTTGCAATATTCCTTGTTAACTTCTGCAGAAACTTGAGGTGAGGCCACTTTTGGGATCCTTTTTAATTTTTCTGATAATTTGAGACTCCTTTCTGCATTGAGAACCCATGTCCGCCCAGTTCGTGGTTTACTTGTCAAATTATTACTCTGCTAATTTCTCCGAGATATTCAGACTCTTTTCTTGCTGGCTGCCCTGTTCGTGGTTTACTTGTCAAATTGTTATTCTGCTCAACACTTTTTTATTATATTGCGATGAGTGTATCTGCTTCTTTTCACAATTTCAGCATAAGATCTGGTTTGATGACGGTGGTATAAAATAATTTTTGCGCTCCTCTTCTCTAGCTTTCTTGCCCATCTCAATTTGTTTTTGCAAACACCCAAAACACAAATAACGGCACTTGTTATGTAATTCGGTGCTCAATCGTTGCCATATCTTTGCAAATAACCGATCACTCACAATAGCGTGGCTTGGCGTTGCCAATAATTTTGTTCTGGCTAATACTAGGTTTAGATTAAGGATCATTCAATATTTCCAAGAGGAAATAATTGTTACGTTGCTATTAAATTTTTCACATTACCTCCGTGAGTGCGTGATAAGGGTTAATTTTACTCGAACCCAGAATACATCCTTCCAATAATTGACACTAAATGCTTTCATATTCCAATTATCCTTCCACCATCAATAATTACGGGCAAGGACTTTTCAATTTTTCCGGCATGGTAATTAGATAATCAAATTGACACATTGTTCAAAAAGCCAGGGCAATGGTGTTAATGGACTCTCCTTCTCCCCCTCCTCTTCCTTTTTTTGAAACAACAATGAGTGCCAAAGATTTCACAGCCATAAAAGGCTTGCAATTAAGGGTTAGTGTTGAATCTGCCAAGGATATGTGTTAGGAATTTAAAATATTTTTGAAAAATGAGAATGGAAAACTAATTTTATTTCTTAAAATTTCAGATGAAGAAATCGGTGGCCACTTGGGCATGGAGGCCTTTGTCAAATCCGATGACTTTAAAAAGCTCAATGTTGGCTTCTCCTTGGATGAGGGCGTGGCGGCCACAGATGACAGTTATTTGGTCTACTATGCCGAGAGAACCATTTGGCGTGAGTAAAATAAATTCAATCCTAAAAATAAATAATTAAAAAAATTACCTTCCTTTTTTTGCCAGAAATCCACTTCCAAATCTCGGGCCAGGCCGGCCACGGTTCGTTGCTGTTGAAAAATACCGTCGGTGAAAAACTCCATTATATTTTAAATAAAATGATGGCATTTAGAGAACACGAATCCCAGCGTCTGGAAAACGATCCGTCCCTGTCGATTGGTGATGTTACCACAGTGAATTTAACCACCATCAAAGGTGGTGTCCAGAGCAATGTGGTGCCACCGTTTATGGATGTCTGTTTTGACATTCGCCTAGCCATTACCGTCGATCATCAGGAATTTGAAAATCAGGTAAGGGAAACATGGAGAGCACACTACTCTTTGAAAGTTTGGAAAGTTTGGTTATAAGACGAGGAGGGAGAGAGGCAACTAAACTCCTGCTTAATATGATTTAAGTAACTTTTTAGGGTCACATTGTATCTGATGGGAACAGGCTCAAAATGGGAACGACCTTTTAACAAAGTCTACTTTTTTAGTCATTTTCAATGTCGGGAGGTTTTTGTCATTTTTATACCCTCAGAGAGGCTAGACAGGGTATATATCAATAGATACGGCCAAAACGTGCCTCATCGAAATAAGGGCTTTAGACCCTAGGTCCCTTTAGACCAAATCCAGGACATTTGGAGTCGATTTAGCGATATCTGTCCGCCTATCTCTCTATCTGGCAGGCAGGTGCACACGAGAACTCTCGAAGGGAGTATCCGATTCGGTCCAAACTTGGTAAATCGTAATATTATTATTAAACCTAGATCTAGTTCGAAGATGGGCAATATCGATCCACTCCTTCTAGAACCTCCCCCACAAAAAGTCGATTTTTTCAAAGAAAATATTTTACTGCACAATGAGAGAAAGGATAATCCGATTTTGCTCTAACTTTGCATATCCAAATATTTCCAGCAGTCCTATGTCATATGCGAAAATGGACAATATCGGTCTACTCCATCAAGTACCTCCCACACAAAAGGGTCAAAATTTGGAATAATTATAATTCTTGTAAAATGTGCTGTAAGAGTCCGATTCTCTTCAAATTACACACATCGCGATATTTTCATACGATCGAGGTCTGGTGTGAAGATGGACAATATCGGTCCACTCTATCAAGTACCTCCCCCACAAAGGGTCAAAATTTTGAATAACCATGAAGCTCATAAGACACGAAATTAACATCCGATTCCATTCAGACTTGGCACATCTCAATATTCCTATAAACACAAGATCTGTTATAAGGTTGGTAGAGATCGGGATACTCCTTCTGGTACCTCCCACACAAAAGGGTCAAAGTTTTGAATAACCAAAACGATCATAAAATCGGAAATAAGCTTCCGATTCTCTTAAAAAGTCACACCTCCCATTGTTTCTACTAACAGAATATCTGCTGTGAAGATGGGATATATCGGTCCACTCCTTCTGGTACCTTCCTCACAAAGGGCAAAAATTTTGAATATCCATGAAGCTCATAAAACGCGAATTTAACATCCGATTCCATTCAGACTTGGCACATCTCAATATTTGCATCAACACAAGATCTGTTATGAAGATGGTAGATATTGGACCATTCCTTCTGGTACATCCCCCACGAAGGGTCAAAGTTTGGAATAACCAAAATGATAATAAAATCCGAAATAAGCATCCGATTCTCTTCATATTTCACACATCAGAATATTTTTAGTAATTCAAGGTCTGGTGTGAAAATGGGATTTATCGGTCCGCTCCTTCTGGTACCTTCCCTACAAAGGGTCAACATTTTGAATATCCATGAAGCTCATAAAACACGAAATTAACATCCGATTCCATTCAGACTTGGCAAATCTCAATATTTCCATCAATACAAAATCTGTTATAAATAATATGAGATCGGGATACTCCTTCTGGTACCTCCCCCACAAAGGGTCAACATTTAAAAAAACCAAAACGATTGTAAAATCCGAAATAAGCATTCGGCTCTCTTCATCTTTCACACATCACAATATTTTTAGTAATCCAAGGGCTGGTGTGAAAGTGGGATATATCGGTCCACTCCTTCTGGTACCTGCCCCACAAAGGGTTCAAATTTTTGAATATCCATGAAGCTCATAAAACGCGAAATTAACATTCGATTCCATCGGCTGTCTTATTCGGAAATTAACAAGGGAGTCTAGAGCCATAATAATAATAATAGTCAACCTAAGACTCCTTTGACTCCTCCAGCCGATGATTTAAGCCAGCACAAAAAAGCGTTTATGTATTCTCACCTGTACCCTTGTTTCTTTTTCTTTTCATTTCACTTTACTTTCGTATGTATCTCATTCTCGTCATTTTCCATCATTATTTTTTCTTTTTATTTCATTTTACACTTTTTCTCTCTTTCATCTCCCCGTCATTTAGGTTCGCAAATGGTGTGAGGAAGCTGGTGGCGACATTGTCTTGCATTTCGAACAAAAGGAACCCAAAGTTGAGCCCACAAAAATCGATGATTCCAATATCTATTGGGTGGCCTTCGAAAAGTGTTTGGTTAAGGAATTGTATGCGGAATTACATCATAATAAAAATTTGCTTTTAATTTCCACCTCCTCCTTTAATTTGTTTACAGAGGCCTAAAGATACGCAAACAAATCTTCCCCGGTGGCACCGATAGCCGTCACATACGCCACGTTGGCATACCCTCCATTGGTTTCTCACCCATGATCAATACACCGGTGCTATTGCACGATCATGATGAATTCTTAAAGGCTGATACCTATTTGCGTGGCGTGGAGATCTATGAAAAACTCATACCGGCTGTGGTGAATGCCTAAACGATGCTGTGGCTATTGCTGGGTGACTGTGACTTTGATTTTGATATATTCCTGCATAACGAGATACCTGAAATTTTTTTCTAACGCCGCTAAAAGCTTTGTTAAAATTATACAACAACAATAATGATAATAATAATAACGACATGAAGAATGAATAAATAAATAAGGATTACAGACCTTGTAAAATGGAAGTTTTATTTATTTTTTAGGTGAGATGGAAGCTGAGCCTTTGCGAGGACTGATAAATGATGTTTGGGGCTTGTCTCATAAAATGTCAATTTGCAGAGAACTATAATTGAGCGCAACGAAATGAGGAGACATATGAGAAACGATGTTTGCCTAGACTCTCTTTAGGTCTTTGGCAATCGAAAGTTGCGTTGTTATCAGAATTAGGGATCTCTAAATCGACTTTCGCAAAATACATTTTGTAATCGATTTTTGGTGATACCAACTTAATTGATCAGCAAATTTCAATTTCTAAGCTTTATTTACACCGAACAATAAAAAAAAAAAAAACAAATTAAAAAACATCAGCCGGTTTTCCCGACAGATGTATACCCTCAGCCAATGTTCGATTATTTAATTATTTATCTGTAATTATAACCTCTGTCATATGGCTAGAGAGGGTACATATAATTTGATACGGCCAAAACGTGCATCATCGAAATAAAGGTTTTAGACCGTATGTCTTTTTGGAGCAAATCCGTTTCAGGACATTTGGAGTTGATCTAGCGATGTCCATCCGTCCGACTGGCTGGCTGGTGCGCACGATAACTCTCGAAGGGAGTATCCGATTTAATCCAAACTTGGTACATTGTCATATTATTATCAAACTTAGATCGAGCTGGGAGATGGGCAATATTGGTCCACTACTTCTGGTACCTCCCCCACAAAAGGTCATAATTTTCAAAGAAAATATTTTACTGCTCATAGAGAGAAAAGATCGTCCGATTTTGCTCCAAATTGGCAAATCCTAATTTTTGCATCAGTTCTAGGTCAGGTGTGAAAATGGAAAATATCTGTCCACTCTATCAAGTACCTCCCCCACAAAGGGTCAAAATTTTGAATAATTTTAAGTCCAATAATATGTGACATAAGAATCCGATTGTCTTCAAACCTCACACATAACAATATTTTTATTAACCCAACGTCTGGTGTGAAGATGGTAGAGATCGGTCCACTCCTTCTAGTACCTCCCCTACAAAGGGTCAAAATTTTGAATATCCACGAAGCTCATAAAACCGGAATTTATCATCCGATTCCATTTAGACTTTGTAAATCTCAATATTTATATTAACACAATGTCTGTTATAAAAATGGTAGAGATCGGACCACACCTTCTGGTACCTCCCACACAAAGGGTCAAAATTTTGAATATGCACGAAGCTCATAAAACCGGAAATTATCATCCGATTCCATTCAGACTTGGCACAGTTCAATATTTATATTAACACAATATTTGTTATAAAAATGGTAGAGATCGGACAACACCTTCTGGTACCTCCCACACAAAGGATAAATGTTCGGAATAACCAAAACGACTATAAAATCCGAAATAAGTATCCGGCTCTCTTCATATTTCACACATTCCATTATTTCTACTAACACAAGATCTGCTGTGAAGATGGTAGAGATCGGACCACATCTTCTGGTACCTCCCACACAAAGGGCCAAAGTTTTGAATAACCAAAACAATTATAAAATCCGAAATAAGCATCCGGTTATCTTCATTTTTCACACATCCCACTACTTCTACTAACACAAGATCTGCTGTGAAGATGGTAGAGATCGGACCACACCTTCTGCTGCCTCCACCACGAAGGGTCCAAATTTCGAATATCCATGAAGCTAATAAAACACGAAATTAATATCCGATTCCATTGAAACTTGCAACGTCTCAATATTTCCATTAACACAATATCTGTAAGAAAAATGGTAGAGATCGGACCACATCTTCTGGTACCTCTCACACAAAGGGTAAATGTTCGGAATAACCAAAACGATTATAAAATCCAAAATAAGCATCCGGTTCTCTTCAAATTTCTCACATCCCATTATTTCTACTAACACAAGATCTGCCGTGAAGATGGTAGAGATCGGACCACTCCTGCTGGTACCTCTCACACAAAGGGTCATAATTTTGAACATTCATGAAGCTTATAAAACGCGTAATTAACTTCCGATTCTATTCAAACTTGTCACATGTCAATATTTCCATTAACACAATATCTGTTAGAAAAATGGTAGAGATCGGACCATTCCTTCTGGTACCTCCCCCACAAAGGGTAACGGTTCGGAATAATCAAAACGATTATAAAATCCAAAATAAGCATCCGGTTCTCTTAATTTTTCACACATCCCATTATTTCTACTAACACAAGATCTGCTGTGAAGATGGTAGTGATCAGACCATTCCTTCTATTACCTCCCACACAAAGGGTCAAAGTTTGGAATAACCAAAACGATTATAAAATCCGAAATAATCATCCGGTTCTCTTTATTTTTCACACATTCCATTATTTCTACTAACACAAGATTTGCTGTGAAGATGGTAGAGATCGGACCACACCTGCTGGTACCTCCCACACAAAGGATCAAAGTTTCGAATAACCAAAACGATCATAAAATCCGAAAGAAGCATCCGATTCTCTTTAAGTTTAATGCATTCCATTATTTCTACTAACACAAGATCTGCCGTGAAGATGGGATATATCGGACCACTCCTTCTGGTACCTCCCCCACAAGGGGTCACAATTTTGAATGTCCATGAAGCTCATAAAACCTGAAATTAACATCCGATTCCATTCAAACTTTGCACATCTCAATATTTCTATCAATGGTAGAGATCGAACCACACCTTCTGGTACCTCCCCCACAAAGGATCAAAATTTTGAATAATTATATCTCACATAAGAAGCGAAATAAACATCCGATTCTCTTCATATATCACACATCGCATTCTTTTTGCTAACACAAGATCTGCTGTGAAGATAGGATATATTGGCCCACACCTTCTGGTACCTCCCCCACATAGGGCTTAATTTTTTAATAACAAAGCGCCCTAAAAATGCGAAATAAGAGTCGGATTCTATTTAAAATTCCGTTGTTCTCTCTCTCTCTTTCCAGAGCCCTGCATAAAATTCCTCTCTCAGCAATTGGAAAAACTTGAAATCCCCTATCAGGTGCATCACATCAATGGCGACCGTACCAAACCGGTGTTGGTGGGAACCTGGTTGGGTTCTAAACCTGAGCTACCAGCAATTCTGCTAAACTCCCACATGGATGTTGTGCCGGTCTATGAAGAGAAATGGACGCATCCACCATTTGGCGGCCACATGGATGAAGAGGGACGAATTTATGGCCGTGGCGCCCAAGATATGAAATGTGTTGGCGCCCAATATTTGGCTGCGTTAAGGGTACTCAAGAAAAGCCATGAGAAAATGCAACGTACGGTCCATGTGGTTTTTGTGCCGGACGAAGAGACTGGTGGCGAATTGAGTCTGCAGGAATTTGTCAAAAGTAAAGAGTTTCGCGAACTCAAGGTGGGTTTTGCTTTGGATGAGGGTATGGCCACAGAGGATGAGCGATATGTGGCCTACTATGCGGAGAGGAGTTTGTGGCGTAAGTGGGGGGGGGGGGATTCGGAAGTTTTGGAAATATTTAAAAACTTATTTTTTTTTTTTCAGAAATCAACTTCAAAATCAAGGGCTCGGCAGGCCATGGTTCACTGCTTCTGCAAAACACTGCTGGCCAGAAATTCAATTATCTTTTGGATAAATTGATGACCTATCGTCAAGGCCAAGAGGCAATATTGGCCAAGGATCCCACCAAACATGTGGGCGATGTGACCACCATTAATTTGACCATGGTCAATGGTGGCATCCAATCGAATGTGGTGCCAGCCATGCTGGAGGCCTGTTTCGATATGCGCATTGCCACGGATGTGAACCTAAAGGAATATGAGCAGCAATTACGCCAATGGTGTGAGGAAGCTGGTGGTGGCATTGAATGGGAATGGTTGGTGAGAATTGATACGGCTCCCAAAACGAAGACAGATGCCAGCAATCCCTATTGGCTGGCCTTTGAAAAAGCCTTTCAGGAAATGTATGAAGGAGTTTTTTGGAATTCTGGGAAGATTTTTTTTTTAATAAATCTCCATATTTAAATTTCAGGAACTTATCTCTGGAGACCCATGTCTTCCCGGGCGGCACAGATAGCCAATTTTTACGTGCCATTGGCATACCCTCCATTGGATTTTCTCCCATGCCCAATACTCCCATTCTTATGCATGACCACAATGAGTACCTCCAGGCTGATGTCTATTTGCGCGGCATTGAAATCTACACCAAAATTTTATTGAATTTATTAAATTGTTAATTTCGATTGAAGAAGAAAACAAATTTAGAATTTTCCCAGAAATTCCGAAATAAACTATTTTACCGAAATAATACTCTCAGACACCAATATCACGCTTTTCCGTTTTGGTTTGGTTCTTCTTGTTAAGTTTGGAGGAGGTTAAGGGGCAACAATTGGGATCTGGACAACATTTATCTGGAAATAAAGGATGGGGAAATAATGAAAGACCTTGGAGGTAAACATGTTTTTGTAATAAAAGAGAATTGCAGGGCTACCTAGTGTAGAGGAGAGAGAGAGAGTGAGAGAGATTTTTCCGTCTATGCATCTGTCTGTCTGTGGAAATCACTCTAGCTTCCGAAAGAAATGAAGTAGGTCGATAGAATTTTACTCAAATGTATATTATGTCTGCAGGAATTATGGTATTGAAAATGAGCCTTGTAGGTCCACGTCTTCGTATAGACCCCATATAACGGTACCCCCCGATATTCGGTATTTTGATGATTTTAGCTACATTTTTCACCGGAATTGTTTCAAATTTGGTATTTGGAGTTCGTAATGGATACTACAGCCTCTGGCAGAAAATTGTCTGTACAGGTCTACGTCTACTTATAGCCCCCATATAAGGGTACCTCTCGATATTCGGTATTTTGATGATTTTAGCGACATTCTTCACCGGAATTGTTTCAAATTTGGTATTTGAAGTTCGTAATGGATACTACAGCCTATGACAGAAAATTGTCTGAGCATGTCCACGACTTCGTATAGCCCCCATATAGAGGTACCTCCCGATATACGGTATTTTCAGGATTTTGGCGACATTATTCACCGGAATTGTTGCAAATTTGATATTAGAAATTCGTAATGGATACTACAGCCTAAGACAAAAAATTGTCTGTACAGGTGCACGTCTTCGTATAGCCCCCATATAACGGTACCTCCCGATATTCGGTATTTTCATGATTTTAGCGACATTATTCACCGGAATTGTTTCAAATTTGGTATTTGAAGTTAGTAATGGATATCATAGCCTAAGACAGAAAATTTTCTGTACAGGTCCACGTCTTCGTATAGCCACCATATAACGGTACCTCCCGATATTCGGTATTTTGATGATTTTAGCGACATTATTCATCGATGTTTTTTTTTTTCAAGTTTCGCATTTGATTATTGTAATGGCTTATGCAGGTCCATGTCGTCATATAGACCCTAATGTAACGGGACTATATTCGGCATTTTTATTATTTTAAAAGAATTTTTAACGGATTTTATTTTTTTGGAAAATTGCCAAATTTGTTCCAAATGGTGGAGGGTATTCAAAGTTCGGTCCGGCCGAATTTTTTATTTTTTAATTTTTTTTCTATTTTTTTATTTTTTTTTTTTTAATTTTTTATTTTAATTTTCTTCATTTACTTCAAACCTGAGCAGAGATTTGCTCATATTTACTCGGTAGCGAAACTTGCTCGCGAGCAGTATTGCTCGAAGACTGGAAGTTTTTTTAGACTCTGCTCTTCTCTTTTTTCCAGAGAGTTGAAGAGAAATTCTTTTTCAGAGAAAAGTCCTCCAAAAAGATCTTCAGATATAAGTCCATCAAGAATTTATTTCAAGCATGGATTATTTCAAAAAAATAGACCACGAAAAAAACCTTCAAGAAGGGCACCTGCTGCTACCGGTCCAACCATAAAAACCCTTCATATCTTCAAAAGACATTTCTCAAAACATCACATATCACTCCCCCACCCCCAACTCCAAAGACGTCAAACCATTGCCAAGCATTTCAATGGAATTGAGTGAAAAAAAGAAAATAATTTTCCTCTTCCGCCCAAAGCTCACGTCCCTGGGGGCGGGTGGTATATGGCAAAACGGCAAAGTTATTGTGGGATTTCCAAAACGCATTCAGATTGTGGGCATTATTTGCTAATTTACTACCACCAGACAACAAAGATGACGACATGAATGACTGATGCTGTCGGAACAACCCTTATTGGGAGAAATTTAAACGGTGGCGGTCTTGTTCAGAATAATTATCCGGTTACATGAAATGAAACCTTTTTTGACGCCTTTTACATCTGTTATTCTTTTGTCGAAAAAAACCAAATAATAGGATTAAATTATTACTACATTTGAATATGGGCGAGGGTACGTACATGTCGTTTTAAAACGCCCACCAGTTATTTTTCAATAATTGCAGGGTGGGAGGTAATTTTATGCCCTTTCATAAAAAAATATTATTGTGAAAAAAACATTTTTTTGATTTTTTCCAAAAAATTAAAAAAACACGTCTTTAATTTTTGGTGGAAAATAATTTTTAAAAAACCCACGTCTTTTATTTTTGAGGAAAAATAATATTTAAAAAAATCAAATATTTTTTAAAAAATCCACGTCTTTTATTTCATCCCAAAATATTTTATACCCTCCACCATAGCATATACCCCCCCATATATCGGTACCTGCCGATATTCGGTATTTTGGTGATTTTAGCGACATTATTAGCCGGAATTGTTTCAAATTTTGTATTTGAAGTTTGTAATGGATATTACAGCCTAAGACAGATAATTTTCTGTGCAAGTCCACGTCATCGTATAGCTCCCATATAATAGTACTTCCCTATATTCGGTATTTTGATGATGCAGGTCCACGTCGGCCGAACTTACAGCTTTTTTACTTGTTTTTTTTTAATCCGTGGCTGCTACTTCTTTGCAAGCTATTTTTTTAAAAAATCTTCGTCCGTTATTTCTTCAAAAAATATTTTCTTGAAAAAATCCACCTCTTTTATTTTTGTCGAAATAATATTTAAAAAATCCATTTTTTTATTTTTTGAAAAATCCTCGTCTCTATTTTTTATAGAAAAATATTGTAAAAAATCTGTGTCGGTTTTTTCTTCCCAAAATATTTTTTTAAAAAGTCCACGTCTTTTATTTTTGTGAAAAAATATTTTTTAAAAAATCCATGTCTTTTATTTTTTTAGAAAAATAATTTAAAAAAACCCACGCCTTTTATTTTTGTGAAAAAATAATTTTTAAAAAAATCCATGTCTTTTATTTTTGTAGAAAAATAATTAAAAAAAAAACACGCTTTTTATTTTTGTGGAAAAATAATTTTTAAAAACATCCATTTATTTATTTTTATCGAAAAATAATTTAAAAAAATCCATGTCTGTTATTTCCTTCAAAATATATATTTCCTTCCATAGAATATTTTTTTCAAAAAAAAATTATTGAGTCGGTAATTTCTTGCCAAAATATTTTTTAAGAAATTCTCGTCTGTTAATTCTTCATAAAATATTTTTTTAAATCCACAAAAATTAAAGACATGGATTAAAAAAAAAATATTTTTGCACAAAAATAAAAAATCCATGCCTTTAATTTTTGTGGAAAAATATTTGTTTTAAAAATCCACATCTGTACTTTCTTTCCAAAATATTTTTTTAATCCTCTTCTGTTACTTCTTCTTAAAATATTTTTTAAACAAATCCACGGCTTTTATTTTTGTGGAAGAATAATTTTTAAAAAATCCATTTTTTATATTTATCGGTTTTTTTTTTTTTTTTTTTTTTTTTTGAAAAATCTACGTCTCCTATTTTTGTAGAAAAATATTAAAAAAAAATCTGCGTCGATTTTTTCTTCCCACAATATTTTTTTTTAAAATCCTAGTCTGTTAGTTCTTCATAAAATATTTTTTTTTAAAATCCTAGTCTGTTAGTTTTTCATAAAATATTTTTTTAAAAAATCTACGTCTTTTATTTTTGTAGAAAAATTATTTTTAAAAAATCCATTTTTTATTTTTAACGAAAAATATTTTTTTTTTTGAAAAACAAAAAATATTTTTTTTTTTTTTTTGAAAAATAAAAAATATTTTTGTGGAAAAATAATTTTTAAGAAAATATGCGTTGATTTTTTCATCCCAAAAAAAAAAATAAAAAATTCATTAAAAAAACCCTCGTCTGTTCATTTTTTATAAAATATTTTTTTTTAAAAAAATCCACGTGTTTTATTTTTTTTATGTATTATTTTATTTATTTTTTTAAATATCCACGTCATTTATGTTTGTGGAGAAATAATTTTTAAAAAAAAATCTGCGTCGGTTTTTTCCCAAAATAATTTTTTAAAAAGTCCACGTCTTTTATTTTTGTTAAAAAAATAATTTTTAAAAAAAATATTTTTTTAAAAAAAATTATTGTGTCGATAATTTCTTCCGAAAATATTTTTTTATAAAATTCTCGTCCGTTAATTCTTCCCAAAATATATATTTTTTAATCCACGTCTGTTATATCTTCCCAAAATATATATTTTTTTAAATCCACGTGTTTTATTTTTTTATTGAACAATATATTTTTAAAGAACCACGTGTTTTTTAAATAATCCACGTCTTTTAATTTTTTGAAAAATGTATTTGAAAAAAATCCACTTTATTTCAAAAAATAATTTTAAAAAATCCACGTCTGTTATTTTTTGCCAAAATATATTTTTTTAAATCCACGCCTCTTATTTTTGTAAAAAAATATTTTAAAAAAATCTGCGTCGGTTATTTCTTCCCAAAATATATTTTTAATTTTTTTTAATTTTTTTTTAATTTTTTTTTTTAAAATTTTTTTTTAAAGTTCACATCGGTTGCCACTTTAAAACCCATTTAAAACTAAATAAAGTTATTCGGATCTTTCAAATCACGTTTTATTCAAGTTTCTTTAGAAAAAAGGCGGAGCCTAAATCCGGCTGTCTTATTTTTTTCCACACGCAATAAATTCCCGATTATTTGATTGGCCAACATTTATGCTCCCTTCATCTGAGTTCGCTCGCTCAATTGAGTCAAATGTCATTGAGTGAGTTTCCCTTAAATTTATTGCGAATTATTTGCCTTGAAATCCTCACCAACTGCCGGGGGATGTTTCAGTTGTTAAACGGCGCCCAACTGAAAACTTTCGAGCCCAGCTATGCGTCCGGTTCTGTTCAAAAAGGAAAACTATGTAAGTTACAACAAGGACACCAATAAGTCCACATGTCTGCTGTGTCGCCGGGAACTGTGCGGTCTGGTTATCGGTAATATAAAGCGGCACTATGAGACCATGCATAATATCAAATTTACCCGCGACTATCTGCCAACGGCCAAGGTCCACATAAATACCCTGACTCGGCCCAAGGATGACAATGTTTTCAGATTAACTAAAAATGGATTCGTAAAATGTTGTGTGGGCTTGATTGCCGTGAAAAATCTGCCCCTAAGGATATTGGATGATGAGCGGTATTTCAAGAAACTCATTGCACCCTATCAGCAGGAGTATTCTCTGCAGTTGACTAGTGAAAATATCCTGGATGGCCTGGACTTTTGGTCACTACGTGTCAAGTCTCATTTGCGTGGGAAATTCCATAAAAAATTCCTGAGCCTCAAAGTCGACATGGTTGGTCGCCAAGGTCGAAATGTAATGGGCCTGCATGTTCAATTTATGGAGAACTATAAATTGATATGCCACAGTATTGGTGCGGTGGAGTTGAAAAAAGGCCAACGTTGGAATCCGAAATTCATGAAGGAAGAACTGTTGAAATCCTTAAAGGAATACGAAATTGATGTCCGGCAATTATATGCCCTAACCTGTGATGGCCGTGGCAAGGCTCTAAAAGCCTTACAACTTTTGCAGCAAGATCTGGAGGAGATGAGCAGTGAGTACCTTGCAGAAATGGAGGATTCATTAGAAAAACCCCTACTTTCGGTGGTCTATTCAGGGTCCTACATTATCGAATTGGCGGCTCGATTATTTTTCACCTCCATCGAAAGTGATCTCAACGAGTGTCGCCACACCATCCAGCAGATACGTCAACAGGACATAAATCACAACTTTGTGCCCAGCCTGGATTCGGACAGCCGTTGGCAGTCCACCTTTGATATGGTGGCATCTCTAAAGGATTTCATTGAAAACAGCGAAATTGTTACCGAATATCGTGGCAAAATGGATTGGTTGGGGCTCTTCATGGAAACTCACCAGCCACTGGAGGAGTGGTTGGAACTGATGCAGCATCAGCAGCAGTATATTGTGGGTGACTTCTATCGCGACTGGTTGGTGTGTGAGGCAAGACTGAAACAAATGTCCGACAATGAATATGCCATGCATCTTTTGGAGGCCGTGCTGGAGGTCAAACAGAACCTGCTGGATAATGAGGCATTTAATGCGGCACTGTATTTCGATCCAAGATTCAATCATTTGGATTCACCATATTTCAGTGAGGAGAGGAGGAAACAGGCAGTGGTGAGTTTTGAAACAAAAAAAATTTCAGAAGAAAACCAAAGTAGCAACAGATTTAAAAAAAATATTTTTTGAACAGCAAAAGACGTGGATGTTTTAAAAAATATATTTTCAACAGCAACAGACGTGGATTTTTTAAAAAAATATTTTTTGAACAGCAAAAGACGTGGATTTTTTAAAAAATATTTTTTGAACAGCAAAAGACGTGGATTTTTAAAAAATATTTTGTGAACAGCAAAAGACGTGGATTTTGTTAAAAAAATATTTTTTCAACAGCAACAGACGTGGGATTTTTAAAAAATATTTTTTGGATTTTTTAAAAAATATTTTTTCACAGCAAAAGATGTGGAATTTTTAAAAAATATTTTTTGAATTTATTAAAAAATATTTTTTGAACAGTAGAAAACGTGGGTTTTTTTTAAAATATTTTTTGAACAGCAAAAGACGTGGATTTTTAAAAAATATTTTGTGAACAGCAAAAGACGTGGATTTTGTTAAAAAAATATTTTTTCAACAGCAACAGACGTGGGATTTTTAAAAAATATTTTTTGGATTTTTTAAAAAATATTTTTTCACAGCAAAAGACGTGGAATTTTTAAAAAATATTTTTTGAATTTATTAAAAAATATTTTTTGAACAGTAGAAAACGTGGGTTTTTTTAAAAATATTTTTTGAACAGCAAAAGACGTGGAATTTTTAAAAAATATTTTTTGGATTTTTTAAAAAATATTTTTTCACAGCAAAAGACGTGGATTTTTTAAAAAATATATTTTTTGAACAGTAGAGAACGTGGGTTTTTTTAAAAACCCACCCTTGTGACCACTTGAAATCAGACTTTTTAAAAAATATTTTTTTCAAAAAATAGAATACGCAGACTTTTTAAAAAATATTTTTTCCAAAAAATAGAAAAAGTGGATTTTTTAAAAAAATATTTTGCAAAAAATAGAAGACGTGGATTTTATAAAAAATATTTTTGAACAGCAAAAGACGTGGATTTTTTAAAAAAAATTGTTCAGCAAAAGACGTGGAATTTTAAAAAAATATTTTTTTGAAGAGCAAAAGACGTGGATCTTTTAAAAAAATATATTTTTTCAAGAGCAAAAGACGTGGATTTTTTAAAAAAATATTTTTTGAACAGCAAAAGACGTGGATTTTTTAAAAAAAATATTTTTTGAACAGCAAATGTCGTGGATTTTTAAAAAAAATATTTGTTGAACAGCAAAGGACGTGGATTTTTAAAAAAAAATATTTTTTGAACAGCAAACGACGTGGATTTTTTAAAAAAAATATTTTTTGTGCAGCAAAAGACGTGAATTTTTTAAAAAATATTTTTTGAACAGTAGAAGACGTGGATTTTTTAAAAAATATTTTGTGAACAGCAAAAGACGTGGATTTTGTTAAAAAAATATTTTGTGAACAGCAAAAGACGTGGATTTTGTTAAAAAAATATTTTTTCAACAGCAAAAGACGTGGGATTTTTAAAAAATATTTTTTGGATTTTTTAAAAAATATTTTTTCACAGCAAAAGACGTGGAATTTTTAAAAAATATTTTTTGAATTTATTAAAAAATATTTTTTGAACAGTAGAAAACGTGGGTTTTTTTAAAAATATTTTTTGAATTTATTAAAAAATATTTTTTGAACAGTAGAAAACGTGGGTTTTTTTAAAAATATTTTTTGAACAGCAAAAGACGTGGAATTTTTAAAAAATATTTTTTGGATTTTTTAAAAAATATTTTTTCACAGCAAAAGACGTGGATTTTTTAAAAAATATATTTTTTGAACAGCGTGGATTTTTTAAAAAATATATTTTTTGAACAGCGTGGATTTTTTAAAAAATATATTATTGAACAGCAATAGACGTGGATGTTTTAAAAAATATTTTTTTAACAGCAAAAGACGTGAATTTAAAAAAAATGGAATTTTGGTGGATATTTTAAAAAATATAATTTTTGAATAGCAAAAGACGTGGATTTCTTTTAAAAAAATGGAATTTTGGTTAATTTTTAAAAAATATTTTTTGAACAGCAAAAGACGTGGATTTTTTAAAAAATATTTTTTGAACAGCAAAGGACGTGGCTTGGATTTTTTAAAAAAAATATTTTTTGAACAGCAAAGGACGTGGCCTGGATTTTTTAAAAAATATTTTTTGAACAGCAAAAGACGTGGATTTTAAAAAAAAATATTTTTTCAACAGCAAAAACGTGGATTTTTTGAAAAAAAATATTTTTTCAATAGCAAAAGACGTGGATTTTTTAAAAAAATATATTTTTTGAACAGCAAAAGACGTGAACGTGGATTTTTTAAAAAATATTTTTTGAACAGCAAAAGACGTGAACGTGGATTTTTTAAAAAATATTTTTTTGAACAGCAAAAGACGTGAACGTGGATTTTTTAAAAAATATTTTTTTGAACAGCAAAAGACGTGGATTTTTTAAAAAATATTTTTTCAACAGCAAAAGACGTGGATTTTTTAAAAAAATATTTTTTCAACAGCAAAAGACGTGGATTTTTTAAAAAATATTTTTTCAACAGCAAAAGACGTGGATTTTTTAAAAAATATTTTTTGAACAGCAAAAAATGTGGATTTTTTAAAAAAATATATTTTTTGAACAACAATGGACATGGATTTTTAAAAAAAAAATATTTTTTGAACAGCAAAAGACGTGGATTTTAAAAAAAAAAAAATATTTTTTGAACAGCAAATGTCGTGGATTTTTTAAAAATATTTTTTGAACAGCAAATGTCGTGGATTTTTTAAAAAAATTTTTTGAACAGCAAATGTCGTGGATTTTTTAAAAATATTTTTTGAACCGCAAATGTTGTGGATTTTTTAAAAAATATGTTTTCCAAAAAAATAGAAGACTTGGATTTTTAATTTTTTTTTTAAATAGAAAACGTGGATTTTAAAAAAATAATTTTTTCCAAAAAATAGAATACGCGGATTTTTTAAAAAAATATTTTTTCCAAAAAATAGAAAACGTGGATTTTTTTTTAAAATATTTTTTCCAAAAAATAGAAGACGTGGATTTTTAAAAAAATATTTTTTTTTTTCAAAAAATAGAAAACGTGGATTTTTTAAAAAATATTTTTTCCAAAAAATAGAAAACGTGGATTGTTTAAAAAATAATTTTTCCAAAAAATAGAATTCGCGGATTTTTTAAAAAATATTTTTTCAAAAAAATAGAAAACGTGGATTTTTTAAAAAATATTTTTTTTTTTTCAAAAAATAGAACATGCGGACTTTTTAAAAAATATCTTTTCCAAAAAAAAATAGAAAACGTGGATTTTTTAAAAAATATTTTTTTTTTTTCAAAAAATAGAATACGCGGACTTTTTAAAAAATATTTTTTTCCAAAAAATAGAATACGCAGACTTCTTAAAAAATATTTTTTTCAAAAAATAGAATACGCAGACTTTTTAAAAAATATTTTTTCCAAAAAATAGATAAAGTGGATTTTTTAAAAAAATATTTTGCAAAAAATAGAAGCCGTGGATTTTATAAAAAATATTTTTGAACAGCAAAAGACGTGGATTTTTTAAAAACATTTTATGAAAAAGACGTGGATTTTTTAAAAAATATTTTTTGAACACAAAAGACTTGTATTTTTTAAAAAATATTTTTTGAAAAGCAAAGGACGTGGATTTTTAAAAAAATATTTTTTGAACAGCAAAAGACGTGGATTTTTAAAAAAAAATATTTTTTGAACAGCAAAGGACGTGGATATTTTAAAAAAATATTTTTTGAACAGCAAAGGACTTGGATTTTTTAAAAAATAATTCCAAAAAAAAATATAAAACGTGAATTTTATAAAAAATAATTCCAAAAGAATATAGGAATAAAAAACGTGGATTTAAAAAAATCCACAAAAATACAAAAAGGATTTTTAAATATTTTTCTTCAAAAAAATTTGCTTTTTTTTAATATTTTCCAAAAAAAAAGATTTTTTTTAAACAATTTTTTTTCAAAAATAAAAAAAGTTTTTTTTTTATAATTTTTTTTTTTAAATATTTTCTCATTGGAATACTCATTTTTTTTCTTTCAGGATCACATCATGACCATACAAGACCTGATGAAAACTCTGGAATTCGATACCAGACTTATTTCCGATGATTATGACAGTCAAAATAATGCCAAATTAATTGGGCGCCAAGAAGATCCCTATAATATATTGGAAGCCGAAATACCACAGATAGCCAGAAATTCAACTGTTGAAGAAATCCGTCTCAACATCCGACAAAAATTAGAAAAATTGGCAAGTGCACCTCGTTTACCCTACTCTTCGAATATTTTGGAATATTGGCAGCAAATGCAAATTAAAGACCCTGAAATACATATCCTGATGAAAGTCGTGCTGGCCGTTGGCATAGGTCAGTCGGTGACGGTGAAGAGGACATGCAGTGCTCTGACCACATATTTGACGAAGGAGAAGGCCCGCCTGCCCAAGAGAGCCATGGCCAATATGCTGCTGGTGAAACTCAATGCCGATGTGCTGGATGAGGTGGAGGCATAGGGGGGATGGAGCACTAGAAATGGGGAAAATAATGCAGCCAAAACTGTGAATTCTTCCGTCGCCCGATGCGGGGGAAGAAAAAATATTAATTCTAACCTAAAAAAATTTGATGATAACACTGTGCCAAAAAATTCAAATTTTCAATAATTGCGGAAAAAATCTAGAAAATTATGAAAGTAGAGTTTCAAAAAGGCGACACGTGTGACTTTCTAAGACCTACATTAAGGGAGTTTTTTTAACCTATATTAAAAAAAGGACCAAAAAGACCCCTTTCTTGACTCGCTTGAGGGTTAAAAGTTTCCACAAAAATAATCCTCGTATTTTTATCTGCAACATTGCCAACGACTTTATATACCTAAAGTGCCCGCACTCCGAGAAATCTTCCGAATCCGAAAATTTTCAAAAGTGTGTAATAGGAGGGAACTTTCCCCCTTTTTTTTACATTCCGATATAAATTTTTAAAACACCAATACACATGTCTTCTTTTTTTTGGCTCTACTTTCATAATCTGCTGGATTTTCGCCGTAAATGTTTTTTGTGATGCCCTGTGTAATTTTCAATTTCATATAAATCGAAAGCAATCCTTTGTAGTCTGAAAAAAATAAAAGAAAAATCTCAAGTAGCAACCGACGTGGATTTTTTTTAATATTTTTTCTTTACAGATTTTCTGAAACTCTACGGAGGACCTTCATTCCATATTTTTAGTTACCAAACTTACCCTCCAAAGCAACGGTCCGATATTTTCCCAAAATCCTTTTCAACGCATCCACGGGAAATGGAAATATGATCGTATGGTTGTACTCATTGGAAATGGTGTTCAAAGTTTGCAAATACCTCAGCTGCAAGGATTCGAAAATTGATCCTTCAGCCCCTTCTAATCATTTGAAATCGGAACCTACCTGCAAAGCCATGGGATTTCCACGCATGACATCGGAGGCTTCCCTAAGATTGTGGGAGGCTTCCAGTTCTCCATTGGCTGCCACAATTTTTGCCTGGGCCTCACGTTCCGCTTCCCGTTCCGTGGCCATGGCTCTCTGCATGCCACGGGGCAACTGGATTTGTTTACTGCAAAAAAGGGGGGGCGAAAATTCGAGGGCTGATATTGGTGGGACAAAAAAATTGTTCATAATGTTGTTGTTGTTGTTGCTGTTGTATTGTTGGCTCCCGCCACCGACAACAAATCAATGGGAAATGGAAATATAATGGTGGAATTTCGTTCACTTGAAATATTCGATAAAGTTTGCAAATAACGTAACTGAAAAAATGATGGGGAGGGAGGGAGGGAGTAGAGAAGAAGAGCAGTAGGTCAGAAGTAGGAATAATGGCAACTCTAAATATACCCATACCTGTAATGTTATGGGATTGGAAGACATTACATCCGAGGCCTCTTTTAAGGCCCTCGAGGCACTTAACTCCCCCTCGGCAGCCACAATTTTTGCCTTGGCCTCACGCAAGGCCTCTGCCTCAGCAGCCATGGCCCTTTGCATGGCAACGGGAAGGCGCACATCCTTGCTGGAAAATTGCAAATTAACGGATCAGACAGTGGCAGGTGAGGAATTTTGAAAAATTGAAGATTAGAAAAAATTTCAAAAGAAAATAAAAAAAGAGGCAGATTTTTTTAAACGCCCTTGAAATCTTTCAGAATTTTTGAAATTTCCGAATTTTAGATTCCTTGGAATCCTGGCATTTTAGGTATATAGTGTCTTTGGCAATATTACCGATAACAATACGAGGATCAGTTTTGTCGACTTATTTAACACTCAAGGGAGCCACCAAAGGTATCTTTTTTGGTCCTTATTTCAAAATATGGCTGAAAACTCCCCTTAAACGTGATTGTAGCAAGTCAAAATATTTTACAAATATATTTGTCATGAAATTTTACTATGGTCCCAGAAGACATTAAAAGCCTAAAGCTTATCTAAACGCCAGAAATCCATATATACTAAAAACACATTTTAGGGTTAAAGCTCGTACCTTATGTGAGTTTATGCAAATTTCTCCTACAAAGCATCAATTGAGGAGGATGATGTCAAAGACAAAAATGTTCTCCATCAAATTTTACTATAAGTCATCAACGGAAATAAGTCTCTATTTTCATTGCGTATCATGAAAATATATGCATTAATGTTGTCGAAGAAAACATAGAAATATTTCCTAATATTTTTGATCAATTTTTTTATATTTGATTCGAGTTAATGCATAAAAGTAGCTTCAAATTTCATTTTAGGCAAAAAGTGTTAAAGGAAGAAATATTCTACACAAAATTTCACTATAAGTCACCGGAGAAAGGAAATTCCAATTTCCATTCTATATCACGAAAATATACACATCAATTTTGACAAAAAAAAACGCGAAAAAATTGACTCATTTTTTGGAGCAATTCTTCCTCGACTTTTTCTGAGGTTATGCATGAAAATAACATAAAATGTCATTTTAGGCAAAAAATGTCAGAGGAAGAAATATTCTACGCAAAATTTCACCATAAGTCACCGGAGAAAAGAAATCCCCATTTCCATTGTATATAGAGAAAAAATACCTATTAATTTTGACAAAAAAACGTGAAAAAATTTACTCATTTTTTGGAGCAATTCTTCCTCGACTTTTTTGAGGTTATGTATTAAAGTAGCATAAAATTAAGTTTTTGATAAAAAGTGTCAAAGGAAGAAATATTCTACAGAAAATTTCACTACAAGTCACCTTGGAGAGGAAATGTCGATTTCCATTATATATCAAAGAAATATACACATCAATGTTGCCGAAAAAACGTAACAAAAAATTACTCTTTTTTGGGTCAATTCTTACTCGATTTTTTTGAGGTTATGCATTAAAGTAACATAAAATTTAATTTTAGGCAAAAAATGTCAGAGAAAGAAATATTTTACACAAAATTTTACCATAAGTCACTGGAGAAGAGAAATCCCCATTTCCATTGTATATCGAGAAAATGTACGCATCAATGTTGCCGAAAAAACGTGAAAAAATTACTCATTTTTGGATCAAAATTTCCTCGACCTTTTTCGTGTTGACGCATGAAAGTAACATAAAATTTCACTTTAGTCGAAAAGTGTTAAAGGAAGAAATATTCTACACAAAATTTGACTATAAGTCACCTCAGAGAAGAAATGTCTATTCCCATTGTATATCAAGAAAATATACGCATCCACATGCCAAAAAAAGTGAAAGCATTTCCTATTTTTGTGTCAATTCTTTCCCGACTTTTTCTGAGGTTATGCATTAAAGTAACATAAAATTTCAATTTAGGCAAAAAGTGTCAAAGAAAGAAATATTCTACACAAAATTTGACTATAAGTCACCTTAGAGAAGAAATGTCAATTTCTATTGTATATCAAGAAAATATAAGGATCAACCTGCCCAAAAAAAACTGTGAAAATATTTCTTCATTTTTTGGGCCAATTCTTCCTCGGCTTTTTCTAGGTTATGCATTAAAGTAGCATAAAATTAAGTTTTTGATAGAAAGTGTCAAACGAAGAAATATTGTACGAAAAATTTCACCATAAGTCACCGGAGAACAGAAATCCCCATTTCCATTGTATATCAAGAAAATATACACATCAACGTGCAAAAAAAAACTGAAAACATTTCCTCCTTTTTTTGGGTCAATTCTTCCTCGACTTTTTTCTTGTTGACGCATGAGAACATAAAATTTAATTTTAATCGGAAAGTGTTAAAAGAAGAAATATTCTACACAAAATTTCAGTATAAGTCACCTCAGAGAAAAAATGTCTATTAACATTGTATATTATGAAAATATACGCATCAATTTTGACGAAAACATAAAGACATTTCTCATTTTTTGGGTCAATTTTTCCTCGACTTTTTCAGAGGTTATGCATTAAAGGAGCATAAAATTATGTTTTTGGCCGAAAGTGTCAAAGGAAGAAATATTCTACACAAAATTTCACTATAAGTCACCGGAGAAAAGAAATCCCCATTTTCATTGTATATCGAGAAAAAATACCTAATAATTTTGACAAAAAAAACGTGAAAAAATTGACTCATTTTTTGGAGCAATTCTTCCTCGACTTTTTCTGAGGTTATGCATTAAAGTAGCATAAAATTATGTTTTTCACCAAAAAAATGGAACATCCAAAAGCTATATTACCCATATGTTTTCTACTTACATCTCCACCCGTTCCACCTTAACACCCCATGGATCTGTGGCCTCGTCTAATATCATGCCAATTGTACGTGACATTGATTCCTTGGCCGTCAGTAATTCCATTAAATTCTTAGTGCCCACAACGTTACGTAGCGTTGTCTGGGCCAAAAGCTTTGTCGACTCATGGACATTGCGGATTTGTATGACCGCATCCAAGGGATTGCGAACGCTATAATAGACCACTGCATCCACTTGTATGGTAACCGAATCACGGGTCAAAACTTCTTGGGGCGGAACATCAAATGACTGGGTACGCAAATCGACTTTGATGTAGTCATCCACGCAGGGCAACAGGAAGACCAGCCCGGGGCCACGAACACCACCACCTTTTCTGTAAAACAAAGCAATTACAAATTTCGATTAGGGGTAGTACAATTTCAGCGCTTACCTCAATCTTCCCAAACGAAAGATGACAATCCTTTGAAAATGGGCCACCGATTGCAAACAAAACCATATGGACAGGGGAAATGTCAGGTATAGCAAAATGTAGGATAGAAATACAATGGCATTTTCGGAAGGAATCGGTGTGGTATCCGCTATAAAAAAGAAGACATTAGTAAAGTTTTTCTTGCTTTCTGAGAAGTTTCCTACTTACAGGAGCGTATGTGAGGTTTTGGCGAATTCGGCAATACTTCATGATTCATATCGGAAAAAATTTCCAGGTTTTACTCCTTGTAAATGGAAGATGGATGATACCAAAGATGGTGATACACAGCTTAGTTTACCACTATCTATTGGGCCAGAAATAGATTATATGATTTTGATTTAAAATGAAACAAATAATTTGATAAACATTCAAATTTTTCTTTTCAAAACTTTTTACTCATTTGAGTTTACATTGCCAAATTAAAAAAAACAAATATTGTCGTATCGTATTGAAAAGAGAAAAGAAATCCCCACTTCCACTGTATATCAAAAAATATACACATCAATTTTAAAAATAAAAACCTAAAAAATATTTCATCTTTTTTTGGATCAAATTTTCCTCAACCTTTTGTGTTGATGCATAAAAGTAACATAAAATTGCATTTTAGGTAAAAAGTGTCAAAGGATGAAATATTCTACACAAAATTTCACTATAAGTCACCTTGGAGAAGACATGTCCATTTCCATTATATATCAAAGAAATATAAGCATCAATTTTGCCGAAAAAAACGTAAAAAATATTTCCAAATTTTTTGGGTCAATTCTTACTTGATTTTTTGGAGTTTATGGTTATAAGAAGCATAAAATTTAATTTTAGGCAAAAAGTGTCAAAGGAAGAAATATTCTACACAAAATTTCACTAGAAGTCACCTTGGAGAAGACATGTCCATTTCCATTATATATCAAAGATATATACGCATCAACCTGCCGAAAAAACGTAAAAACATTTCATCATTTTTTTTGGTCAATTCTTTCTCGACTTTTTGTGAGGCTATGCATATAAGTAGCATAAAATTATGTTTTTGGCAAAAAGTAACAAAGGAAGAAATATTCTACATAAAATTTCACTATAAGTCACCTCAGAGAAGAAATGTCTATTTCTATTGCATATCAAGAAAATATACCCATCAACGTGCCAAAAAAATGTGAAAACATTTACTCATTTTTTGGTTGAATTCTTCCTCGACTTTTTCTGAGGTTATGCATAAGACGCATAAAATTTAATTTTAGGCAAATACTGTCAAAAGAAGAAATGTTCTACACAAAATTTCACTATAAGTCACCTCAGAGAAAAATGTTCTATTTCCATTGTACATCAAGAAAATATACGCATCAAAATGCAAAAAACCTAAAAAAAATTTCCACCATTTTTGGGTGAATTCTTCCTCGACTTTTTTGAGGTTATGCATAAGAAGCATAAAATTTCATTTTAGGCATAAAGTGTCAAAGGAAGAAATATTCTATACAAAATTTTACTATGTGTCATCTTAGAGAAGAAATATCTATTTCCATTGTATATCAAAGAAATACACATATCAACGTTGCCGAAAAAACGTAAAAATATTTCCACAATTTTTGGGTCAATTCCTACTCGATATTTTCGAGGTTATGCATAAGAAGCATAAAATTTAATTTTAGGCAAAAAGTGTCAAAGGAAGAAATATTCTACACAAAATTTCACTACAAGTCACCTCAGAGAAGAAATGTCTATTTACATGGTATATCAAGAAAATATACGCATCAACGTGAAAACATTTCCCAATTTTTTGGGTCAATTCTTCCTCAACCATTTCTGAGAATATGCATTAAAGTAGCATAAAATTATGTTTTTTATCAAAAAGTGTCAAAGGAAGAAATATTCTACACAAAATTTCACTATAAGTCACCGGAGAAAAGAAATCCCCATTTCCATTGTATATGGAGAAAATATACCCATTAATGTTGCGAAAAAACGTGACAAAAAATTGCTCATTTTTGGATCAAATTTTCCTCGACATTTTTCGTGTTGACGCATGAAAGTAACATAAAATTTCATTTTAGGCATAAAGTATCAAAGGAAGAAATAATCTATACAACATTTCACCATAAGTCACCAAAGAAAATAAATCTCTTTTTCCAATGTATATAAAAAAATATATATGAAACAAATTTACTTATTTTTTTGGATCAATTTGTCCTTGACCTTTTTTCGTATTGATGCTTGAAAGTAACATAAAATTGCATTGTAGGCAAAAAGTGTTAAAGCAAGAAAAATTCTACACAAAATTTCATCATAAATCTCAAAACAAACCATTTATCTAGGTTTAATGGTTTTTGAGAAAATCACCTTCGAAATTTAAATATTAGATGTATTAAAATTTTTACCGCTAATCTAATACTTTGCCATTTTAGGTAAAAATCTCCCATACTACTTAATTCTTTGGGAATGCTTTCAAAGGAGGAAATGTTCTACATCGAATTTCAATGTGAGTGTCTGAACAAAAGAAATTTGTATGCTCAATATGTACCACAAAAAAACATCATCAATTTTTGTTAATAAAATACCTTCTTCTTATTTGAAAAATTTTGTTTCTTTGACACATTTCTCAAAAAATCAAGTATAACTGGTTCTCTGCAATAAATTGCCCCCTCCTCCTTAATCGCCACATTTCAAATTATGAATTACAATTGTTTAGGTGGTTAGATTTTTAATAATATTATATATTTTTATTTTATATAATAAATTTGTTCAAACGTTCTTTTTTTTCTTTGTTGTTGTCTATGAATAATAATATTAATAATATATTTCATGTTAATTCTTTACACCGAGAGCAAGTAAAATGTAGTGGGGTACTAGTACACATTAAATGAGAAAAAGTAAGAATTATGGGTTGTTGGCTAAAATGCTACAAGTTTTCCAAAAACTCAATTCAATCAGTGCGAAATCTTAGGGGTGTGTATGTGACGTAGTTTATTTGCATTTTTACTTCTGAGAATTATCTGTGTTTGGTTTCTTATTTGCAGTTCCTGCAGGTTTCTTAGCATTAGGATTCACTTTTCCGGGTGTGGCCTTGTTGCCGCCAGCAGCTGGTTTAGCGGGAGTTGTTGTCGTTTTGGCAGCAGGTTTGGCGGGTGTGCCGGCTCCTGGTTTGTTGGCTCCAGCTGTCTTGGCTGGTGTGGCCTTTGTGACAGGAGTCTTAGCAGCTGCTGGTTTGGCGGGTGTGGCCTTGGCAGCAGGCGCCGTCGCTGGCTTGCTTGGTGTGGCCTTGGCCCCATTTGTTGTGTTGCTAGGTTGAGCAGTTTTTGCCACAGCTGCTGGCGCAGCTTTGGCCACAGTGGTTTCTTTCTTTTCTACCTCAGGTTTCTTGGGTTTTTCTTTTTCCTTTTCCTGCGAAGTTACAGCTTCCTTAACATCGGTTTTATCTTCCTTTGCCGCCGTTTCATTGTCTTTGGTTGGAGGAGCAGCAGCAGCAACAGGGGGTTTGACAACTTTCTTTTCTTCTTTGGGTTTTTCGACCTCTTTTTTGGTTGGTGGGGGTGCTTCCTTTTCTTCAGCCTCTTTTTTTGGAGTTTCTGCTTCCTTTTTGACTGCAGGTTTGTCGGTTTCTTTTTTAATCACTTCTTCTTCTTTAGACTTTTCATCACTGGTCTCTGTTTCCATGGCCTCAACTTTTTCCTCTTTTACTGCAGACTTTTCCTTTCCATCATCCTTGCATTTTTCTTTTTCTGATTCCTTAGTTTTTTCCTTGGATTTTTCGGATTTCGAAGAGGACTTTTCCTTATCGCCATCTTTATCTTTGGATTTTTCTTTAGAGTGGTCCTTATCCGAATGTTTATCCTTGTGTTTGTCCTTTTCGGAATCTTTGTCGTCCTTCTTTTTGTCATCCTTGTCCTTGTGTGAGCTAAAAGAAAAACAACAAAATAAGCTCCATCCTCAATAAAAATATTCTTCCTTTTACCTCTCAGTTTTGGAATCTTTTTCCTTATCCTTGTCCTTGGAGAAATAGGGCTCAACCCGGGTGTAGATGTACAAAAGGGTTGAGTTTTGATCCCGATATTTACGCTATAACAAAAAGAAAAATTTAACTCAATTCTAATTCAAAAATGCTGATCCTACTTACCGTCAGGGTATAAAGTTCCTGGTTTGTATCGGTCAACTTCCTTCTCAAACTCTTGGAATCTTCCAATAAATCCTTAATTTTGGATTTTGCCTTGCTATGTTCCTTTTGCATATCGCTGTGCTCTTTCACTAGATCATTGTATAGCTTTTCGGTGTCGGATAATTCTTTTTCCGTACGTTTGATTTGTTCCATCAATTTGCCAATATGGATGACAGCACCGTTGTAATGAACTAGATCAGCTGGAAAGAGGAAAACAAAACATAATGTTGTTAAAATCATCAAAATGCCGAAAATCGGGAAGTGCCATTATTTGGAGGCTATACGAAGTCATCGACCTGCACGGACAATTTTCTGTCATAGGCTGTAGTATACATTACGAACTTCTAATACCAAACTTGAAAGAATTTCGGTAAAAAATGTCGCTAAAATCATCAAAAAACCAAATATCGGGAGGTACCCTTATTTGAGGACCATACGAAGACGTGGACCTACACCGACAATTTTCTGCCATAGGCTGTAGTATACATTGCGAACATCAAATACCAAGTTTGAAACAATTCCGGCGAATAACGTCGCAAAAATCATCAAAATACTGAATATCGGGAGGGCTATACGAAGACGTGGACCTGTACAGACAATATTCTGTCATAGACTATGGTATCCATTACGAACTTCAAATACCAAATTTGAAACATTTCCGGTGAATAATGTCGCTTAAATCATTAAAATACCGAATTTCGGGAGGTACAGTTATATGGGGGCTATACGAAGGCGTCGACCTGCACGGACAATTTTCTGTGATAGGCTGTGGTATCCATTACGAACTTCAAATACCAAATTTCAAACAATTCAGGTGAATAATGTCGCTTAAATCATTAGAATACCGAATATCGGGAGCTGACTTCATATGGGGGCTATACGAAGACGTGGACCTGCTCGGACAATTTTCTGTCTTAGGCTGTAGTATTTATTATGAACTTCAAATACCAAATTTTAAACAATTTCGGTGAATAATGTAGCTAAAATCATCAAAATACCGAATATCGGGAGTTACAGTTATATGGGGGCTATACGAAGGCGTCGACCTGCACGGACAATTTTCTGTCATAGGCTGTGGTATCCATTGTGAACTTTAAATACCAAATTTAAAATAATTCCGGTGAATAATGTCGCTTAAATCACGAGAATACCGAAAATAGAGAGGTACCATTATATGGGGGCTATGCCAAAACGTGGACCTATATGGCCCATTTTCAATACCAAAGGTCCTACAGACATAATATACATTTGAGTAAAATTCTATCAACCTACCTAATTTTGTTCGGAATCTAAAGTGATTTCCACAGACAGACGGACATCACCAAATCGGCATAGAGTTTTATGTCTATACTACGGTAGAAGTTAAGAACATCCTCTATGTATAATAACCCCTTAAAACTTACATTGATTATTCTCATCGCCCTCAATGGGTATGGCATAATTGCCGTGATGAGCCTCAGCAAATACAAATTCATATTTATTATTGCCAGCGGCAATATCTTTCAACTCCTCCAACTCCAAGTCATCGACATCTTCAATTTTGGCCAAGGCATCGGTCGATTCCTTTTTGTCCGTAAGTTTGCTGCAAAGGAAAACAAAAATAATTATTGAAACTAAAACCCATCATTTCTTCCCTTCTACGAACTTACCGATAATGCACCATCGTACGATTACCAATTTTTGACAAAACTTTTTTGATTTGTGATCGCGATAGATTCAAACCCAACACCATAAACAAATCTTCCAAGTCACGCTCGAAAATGTAGCCACAGTGTGTGGAATCGAAATAGAGGAATGATAAGAGTAAATGTGGCTTGGCCACCACAACTTTTTTGTTACTTTCCGTAGATGAGGATTTGTTGTCGTCCGCATCTCCGGCACTGTTACGACTTTGTGACTTCTTATTATCATCGCTGGCAATTGCCAATTCACGGCCATCAATGGTACTCATGCGACGTTTGGGTGGTGGTCTTTCGGACTTGTCACCGTCTTGGGCATCCTTGGTACTTGTGCGTCGTTTTCTTGACTTGCTGTCATCGGATTTTTCGCTTTCCTTCTCACCACCACCACCAACTGCTTTGGCATCAGCTGAAGTTTGTTCACCATCTGCGGTCTTGGTTTCTTCTCCATTGGCTGGCTCGCCATTATCCTCATTGCTGTGCTCCTTACTATTGTAAATGTGTATCTCTTTGTAAATGTTAAAGGCAAAGTCACGCATCAACATTTCATTGAAGAGCTCGGCAAACAGCGACAACTGGGACAGGATGGAAAAAAAAGAGAGATATTTTAATTCGAAAAATCAATGTTTTAAAAAGACCTTTCATGGAACTTACCTCAAATATCCTCTCCTTGGTATCGGCATGATGATAGTCCATCAAAACTTGCAGCGTCATTAGGGCACAATCAAAACTACCACCCTTGGCCAATTTGTTGGGATGCACCACAATTTGGGGGGTTGATGGCAGTGTATAGCGGCGAATAAGTTTGGCCTTTTCTCGTCTGGACATTTCCTTGTCCTAAAATGAAAAAAATATGGAAAAATTAGTATCGGGGAAAAGGGATAAGGTATGTATAAGGCTAAAAAATCAAGGATAAGAATAAAAATGCGGGTTTTTAGGAATATTTTTTGAGGTTTGAAAGAGGCAATTTTGAACATGGGAATTCCCCTTTGAGAAGTCTTAAGACTAGAAAAAACATAGACCAGAATAAAAAAGAGAATTTTGGGAAATATTTTTGAAGATTTAAAACGACGACACTTTGAGGATTTTTAACTTTTCCATGGGAAACTCCCTTTGAGGAAGTCTTCTGTAGATAGATGGCAGGGACTTAAACCTTAAAGATTAAAGTTCTTCAAGGCGGCCCTCAATAGATAGAAGTTTTTAAATAGGATTTTACAAGGATAGAAGCCCCCAAAAGGCATCTATGAAGAGAAACCTCACAAAGTGCTTTTCTATGGGTAGAAGCGCTTCAAAAAGTTTTTCTCAGGATAGGGTTTACTGAGGTTATAGGGTCATCTCAGATTAGAAACACTCTAAGGGGATTTTCCATAGATAGAAGTCCTTTGGATATGTCTTCTGTGCATACAAGTCCTCCAAAGAAGTCTCCTATGGACACAGACCCTTCAAGTAGGCATTTTACGGAGAGAAATCCCTTAAAAGGATCTCATTTGAGTAGAAACTCCTTGAGGCCTTCTATGGATAGATTCATAAAACACGAAATTAACATCCGAATCCATTCTGACTTGGTACATCTCAATATTTCCATCAACACAAGATCTGCCATAAAGGTGGTAGAGATCGGAGCATTCCTTCTGGTACCTCCCCCACAAAGGGTGAAAATTTTGAATAATCAAAACGATCATAAAATCCGAAATAAGCATCCGGTTCTCTTCAGATTACACACATCCCAATATTTTTATTTAGCCAAGGTCTGGTGTGAAGATGGGATATATCGGTCCACACCTTCTGGTACCTCTCCCACAAAGGGTCAACATTTTGAGTATCCATCCAGCTCATAATACGCGAAATTAACACCCGATTCCATTCAGGCTTGGTACATTTCAATATTTCCATCAACACAAGATCTGTCATAAATATGGTAGAGATTGGACCATTCCTTCTGGCACCTCCCCTACAAAGGGTCAAAGTTTTGAATAACAAAGACGATCATAAAATCCGAAATAAGTATCCGGTTCTCTTCAAATTACACACATCACAATATTTTTATTAAGTGAAGGTCTGGTGTCAAGATGGGATATATCGATCCACTCCTTCTGGTACCTCTCCCACAAAGGGCCAACATTTTGAGTATCCATCCGGCTCATAATACGCGAAATTAACATCCGACTCCATTTAGACTTGGTACATCTCAATATTTCCATCAACACAAGATCTGTTATAAAGATGGTAGAGATCAGACCATTCCTTCTGGTACTTCCCCCCACAAAAAGTCAACGTTTTGAAGATTCATGAAGCTCATAAAAGACGAAATTAACATCCGATGCCATTCAGACTTGGTACATCTCAATATTTCCATCAACACAGTATCTATTATAAAGATGGTAGAGATCGGACCACTCCTTCTGGTACCTCCCCCACAAAGGGATGAATGTTTTGAATAATCAAAACGATCATAAAATCCGAAATAAGCATCCGGTTCTCTTCAGATTACACACATCCCAATATTTTTATTTAGCCAAGGTCTGGTGTGAAGATGGGATATATCGGTCCACACCTTCTGGTACCTCTCCCACAAAGGGTCAACATTTTGAGTATCCATCCAGCTCATAATACGCGAAATTAACACCCGATTCCATTCAGGCTTGGTACATTTCAATATTTCTATCAACACAAGATCTGTCATAAATATGGTAGAGATTGGACCATTCCTTCTGGCACCTCCCCTACAAAGGGTCAAAGTTTTGAATAACAAAGACGATCATAAAATCCGAAATAAGTATCCGGTTCTCTTCAAATTACACACATCACAATATTTTTATTAAGTGAAGGTCTGGTGTCAAGATGGGATATATCGATCCACTCCTTCTGGTACCTCTCCCACAAAGGGCCAACATTTTGAGTATCCATCCGGCTCATAATACGCGAAATTAACATCCGATTCCATTCAGGCTTGGTACATCTCAATATTTCCATCAACACAAGATCTGTCGTAAAGATGGTAGAGATCGGACCACACCTTCTGGCACCTCCCCTACAAAGGGTCAAAGTTTTGAATAACAAAGACGATCATAAAATCCGAAATAAGTATCCGGTTCTCTTCAAATTACACACATCACAATATTTTTATTAAGTGAAGGTCTGGTGTCAAGATGGGATATATCGATCCACTCCTTCTGGTACCTCTCCCACAAAGGGCCAACATTTTGAGTATCCATCCGGCTCATAATACGCGAAATTAACATCCGATTCCATTCAGGCTTGGTACATCTCAATATTTCCATCAACACAAGATCTGTCGTAAAGATGGTAGAGATCGGACCACACCTTCTGGTACCTCCTCCACAAAGGGTGCAAAATTTGAATAATCAAAACGATCATAAAATCCGAAATAAGTATCCGGTTCTCTTAAAATTACACACATCACAATATTTTTATGAAGCCAAGGTCTGGTGTGAAGGGGGAATATATCGGACCATTTCTTCTGGTACCTCCCCCACATAAGGTTCAAGATTTTGAAAAGCAAAATAGAAGTCTTCCAAGAAGCCCCCCCTACTAGGTTGCTATTGGATATAATTTCTTCAAAATCTTCTCCCAGAATGTTATCCAAGAACGTCTTCTCTAGAAAAAGAAAATTTCCTCGAATTTCCTCTTAGGACAAGGTTTAAATGGATATTTTTGAATATTTTTTTTTTTTTTTTTTGCAAAATTACCTCCTGGTTCTTGCTGGCATCATATTCATCCAATATAACAATATCGCTCATCTCAAAATCAATGGCATCGGCCCAATCCGTTTTGCTATCATCATTTTTCGATGAATCCTTGTCCGGCTGGGCATCAGCTGTTGATTTTTTGGCTGAATTCTTTTGATGTTGTTGTTTTTGGAATTTCTCACGATTGTTGGCCTTGATTTCCTCCTTCTTTTCGGTATTCAAGGCCTTGGCCAGGCGGGCCATGACCACGTTGCGGACACCTGAAAGAGAGAAAAAAATGTTATTAAAAATAAAGAACAGAATTCTAGTAACTTGGGAAACCCCCCACCCACCTTTATCCGATAAATCTCGGGCCAAAAGCTCATCTCTGATTTCTTGAACCTTCATATTTTTCAAATCCAACAACGAATAATGTGTGGGCTCTGGGGTGGGTTCCTCCTGTAAAACACACGCACACATGGACATGTTATTAAAACAATTAGCCAATTTTCAAAAAACATCAACAAAACATACAACAACATGAAGATATTTTTTCTTCTCTTTTCTATAAAACAATAAATAAATAACGACACTCTGTTTCAAACCAACAAGAACAACAATAATCAAAAAAAAAAACAACAATTGGTTTGAAATAACTACACTGCCGTTCTTGGGTTTTCCGAAAGAAAACAGAAAACAGTTGGACAAAGTATTAAAATCTAAATTCCATTTTGAGTTAAGGGAGCCTTTGAGGCTCAAGTAATGAAATAAAATTAAATAAACTTAGCAAGTAGAGGGGGGTTTGGCGGTAGGGAAAATTACTTATATGCCGGCAGTAATGAGTTTTGAGATATATTTTGTTATAAAAATTATGATTTCTTTTTTTTTTGGAAATATTTTTTTTTTTGAATTTGGTCTTGAAGAGAGCAGGAGGAAAAAAGACGGACGGTTTTTCTTTAAATTTGAAAGTTAATACCTAAAAGTCCTCGAGAGACTATTTAGCGCTGACTTGTGAAAAATTGGAAAAAAATAGTTCTGGAGGTTCGATCTTTTAGAGGCTAGAAAATGAAAGTAAAATGTAACAAAAACTTAGGCTAGTGTGTCAATTCAATTGAGACTTTTGATTCGTTATCTATATCATCACCATCTTGGTTAAGTTACATTTTCGTCAGCAGCCTCGGCGACATGGTCCTCATTGTGGCCCATGTCATCATCAGCATCATCATCGTTGTTACCACCATCCTCCGGGTGGTTGGCTTCGTCGTAGTCATCACCATCACCATCGGCGGCAGCATCAACAGCGGAATTATCCATGTCCATGGCTTGATCATCCGGATGCTCATTACCCTCCTCCTCTTCCGCTTCCTGGCCATCAACGTTGTTTTCATCATCGCCTTCGCCGGCATCATTGGCCCCAGCATCTTCGTCATTGTAATCACCATCACCCTCCATATTCCCACCATTATCATCATCACCATCATCAGCAGCAGCAGCATCTTCTTCACTGCCTCCTGTATTCTGTTCGGCATTGTTTCCTTCAGCTGGTTTTCCAGAGGATTGATTTTTGTCACCCGCATTATTACCGGATGCAGCAATGGCCTTGTTTGCCGCAGTGGCACGTCGAGCAATGATTTTCTCAGCAGTGGCCTTGTACAGGCCACTAATGGTATTATATTCAGCTACCGAAGGCATACATGAGTGGACATCGGGCAGGAATATAACCACAGTTTCAACACGAGGCGGTCCACCTTTCTCCATGTTCTTGTACTCGGAACGATGATAGTAGATTTCCATGAAACGATACCTAACACACAGGAATCGGAAGCAGGAGGTTGAAGGTAAGGTAATTTTCAAAAATGTTCGTGTTTCAAATTTGTGGAATGAAGAACAAAAACAACGTTGAACCATCATCAGCATCATCATCGGGGCGGCAATCGGAATAGTTTAAGGTAGATGAGTTTAGAAGAACAGAACAACGAGAAAATGAAATCACAATACACGGCAACATCGGGGAACCAAGGCCATAAAGGAGAATCCAGAAAAACCGGGGTCCATTGAAGGTGTGATGTTGAGACAACCAGCAGCAAGAGCAGCAATTTTTTTTTGGGACCAGGTAATTGTTGTTGCATTCACCACCATCCCACAAGTTGCCATCACGTCAGCCACAGCCACATACAACGCAGTTGGTGTTTTCGTTTTGAGTTTGCAAAGAATTTGCGTCGATCGATCGGTCGGTTTGTTTTATTTTCGTTTTGATTGGTACATATTTTTTTGAATTTTTTTTATATAGAGTTTTGGTACAAATTTGTCGCGTAAACAAACATGGAAAAAGAAAGAAAAAAATCATAAGGAATGTGGCACAAACTCTAGGCAAAAATTCTATAGTTTTGAAAAGTTGGTTTTAAATTTGTTTTAATTATCAAAAATTGAATTTCAGTTTTTTGTACTTTTTTGTACAAAAAAAGTGCATAGCTTAGCTGGAAAAAGAAGTGTGAAGTTTTATTAATTTTTTGTGGTTAAATAAAAATGGATAAGATTTGAAAAATGAAACTAAAAATTTAAACTTAAAAACTAATGGCTATAACTAACTTCCAATATTTTGCGAATTAAAAATACTATTCAATTTTGTTTTGTGAGATTCAGGCGTTGTAATTTCCCATTGAAATCGAGAAGGTCAAATCTAACCTCTAACAAAGTGAGGTTATGTTGGGTATTTTTCTTTTTTTTTTTTTTTTTTTTTGAGAAAAAATAAATTATTACCCTTAAAATTTAGCAATTTTTGAATAGCTTTTTAAAAACGATAATGATAAAACTTAGTTCAAAAAATTTCAATTATGTCTTGAAGATGAACCACACGATGTAACATAACCTCAAAACCAAAAAATATGGGGTTATGTTGAATTTGGTTATAACAAGTAAAGTAGTATCAATCGGTTTTGCCAACCTTGAGTTATGATTATACAAACTCTTGACCCTTTTTAGGCAAGGTTCTGAAGCAGTTGGCCAATAAAGACCATTTCGTATCTGTCAGATTTGGACTATATCGACTACTTCCTATACTTTATATGAGAGATATGTGCAAATTTTTGAAAATGTGGAATTATAATAGGTACCCGAAGGGGTTCGCAGGTACATATCACATTCACAACAGATCCTGCGTTAGCAAAAATATTTGGACATGTGAAGTTTGGAGAGAGTTAGATTCTTATTTCGCTTTCTTTGAGCGTTTTGTTTTTCAAAATCTTGAACCCTATGTGGGGAGGTACCAGAAAAAATGGTCCGATCTCTACCATCTTTATAACAGGAATCGAATGTTCATTTCGTGTTTTATGAGCTTCATGGATATTCAAAATTTTGACCCTTTGTGGGGGAGGTACCAGAAGGAGTAGACCGTTATATCCCATCTTCACAGCAGATCTTGTGTAAGTAGGAATAATGGGATGTGTAGAATATGAAGGGAACCGGATACTTATTACGAATTTTATTACGGTTTTTGTTATTCTGCACTTTGGCCCTTTGTGGGGGAGGTACCAGAACGAATTGTCCGATCTCTACCATCTTTATAACAGATCTTGTGTTGATGGAAATATTGAGAAGTGCCAAGTCTGAATGGAATCGGATGTTAATTTTGTGTTTTATGAGCTTCATGGATATTCCAAATTTTTACCATATGTAGAAGGAACACCAGAAGGAGTGGACCGTTGTATCCCATCTTCACAGCAGATCTTATGTTAGTAGGAATAATGGGATGTGTAGAATATGAAGGGAATCGGATATTTATTTCTAATTTTATTACGGTTTTTGTCATTCTACACTTTGGCCCTTTGTGGGGGAGGTACCAGAACGAATGGTCCGATTTCTTCCATCTTTATAACAGATCTTGTGTTGATGAAAATATTGAGATGTGCCAAGTCGAAATAGAATCGGATGTTAATTTCGTGTTTTATGAGCTTCATGAATATTCAAAATGTTGACCCTTTGTGGGAGAGGTACCAAAAGGAGTGGACCGATAGATTTCATCTTCACACCAGACCTTGGGTTAATAAAAATATTGTGATGTGTGTAATTTGAAGAAAATAGGACACTTAAATCACATTTTAAAAGATTTATAACTATTCAAAATGTTGACCCTTTGTGGGGGAGGTACTTGATAGAGTGGACCGATATTGTCCATTTTCGCACCTGACCTAGCAGTGATGCAAATATTAGAATTTGCAAGGATGGAGCAAAATCAGATTATCCTTTCTCTTACCTTATTTTTTTGAACATTTTGTGGGGAAGGTACCAGAAGGAGTGGACCATCATTGCCCATCTCCGAACTCGATCTAAGTATTACAACAATATTACGATGTACCACGTTTGGATCAAATCGAATACTGCCTTCGAGAGTTATCGTGCGCACCAGCCAGCCAGACAGATGGACGGACATCGCTAGATCGACTCCAAAAGTCATAAAACGGATTTGGTCCAAAGAAACCTAGGGTCTAAAATCGATATTTCGATGAGGCACGTTTTGGCCGTATCAAATGATATATACCCTCTCTAGCCATATGGCTGAGGGTATAGCTGGCCATGTAGCTGAGGGTATAAAAATATATTGCTGATTGGTTGTATCCCTAGCCATATGGCTGAGGATATAATAATATATTGCTGTTTCATATATTGGAGATATGGTTTCAGTCAGCCTTGTAAAAAATCTACCAACATCTTCTCGATTTCAATTGGAAAATTATTTGCCTTGAAATTCTTTTCTTTTCATAGTTTGTCCTCATCTTTTTTTTGTTTGGTATTGAAAAAGTATCCTTGCTTCTATAAAATCTCTAACTCTCTAGTTATGTTGGTACATAAAAAAAGTAAATCATATCATTCCAAATTCATTTGAAAGTCAAACCCAATTAAAAAATATAACTTTCCTCATACATACCATTGCGTACAATTGGACAAATCGATATTTGTCAATGCTTTGCATGTACGTATTGCTGTACGTATCAAAACGGATGGATCCGTATCGGGATTTTCACCATCCAATGATGGTGACCATGGCCCACCAATGGCCATTGGTTCTTTGGAACCCTTCAAACCAACCAAAAAACTAGCAATACGTGACAAATGTATCGGCTGATGATCCAAATCTTCTTCATTGTTTTCAAAGCATTTCCTATAGATTTCAGCGATTGGTGGTAACGATAGCAGCATGACTTTGGCCGAATAGACATAATCAGCATCGGCTGGTTCTAGTTCATCTTGATTTTGATCAAATGGTGATTCAGCATTTTTATCCATTAAATGGAATTGGCAGGGACGCCGCAAAGAGAACGGATTGTCGGGTGTAAAAGTTTCAGTCCACTTGACATTGGCATGGAAAAAGTCCGATGGTATATAAAGTGAGGAATAACGATTACGCAGAGCTTGTATATCGGCATATTTGCTAAAAATAGAGGGAGAAAACGGGAAGATATATAATTAGTCATAAATAGGTAGTAGGTAGGATTTATAATAAACGAGCATTATAAAAACAGGTCTTTAACTGTAGCCACCATTTGTGGAAATGATTGGAAATTGAACGGCCTAAATTTCTAACGAAATTTGAATGGTCTCCCTTTCATCTTAAGTTTTATTTAAAAGGAAAATATGTAAAACATAACTTACAGCGCCAACAGATGTTTAGGTATTTGGATCATGTAACGGCGTAAGGCCCGAGTTCTGCCACCCTTGGGCACCAAACTTTGATTCTTCTCCACAGCATCACGGGGCTTCTCACGTTCCTTTTCCCGCTCCTTATCACGGTCACGTTCACGTTCCCTCTCGACCCTGTCGCCTCGCTCTCCCCTTTCACGGCCACGTTCACGTTCCCGTTCATGATGTTGATCTCTGTCACGTTCTCGATCATTACGTCTCGCATCACGATCTCTTTCTCTAGCAGCAACACCACCTCCTCCAACACCGCCACGATTAAGTGAATTATTGCGATCTCGGCTGATGCGATCCCTGTCATCACGACGTCTTTTGCGTTCGTGTTCATCATCTTCGCGATCCCAGGAACGGCGATGTCTATCTCTTTCTCCTACACCACCACCACCACCCCGACGATCACCACGGTCATGACGAATGGGTGATAGGGCCGGCATTCGTTTGGGCGAGGGATGTCTCTGCATTTGACCACCACCTCCTCCTCCTCGAGGATAGTCATTAGACATCGGCCCCGGACTACCATAACCGGTATCCATTTGATTCATCATGGGCGGTTTAGATGGCATCAACTGTATCTGGGTGGCGTTCCATTTGAATTGGCCACTATTCGAAAAGCTGGCCTCGAATATCACCCGATCTCCCAGTTTTGGTTCAGGTCCTTTACACACATTGCGATAGAAAAACACTTCGTTGTTGACCAAACCACAATCATTGCTGATCTTGGTGATTGTTCCAATAGAATTATAGTGGCGATTTTGTTGTTGCATACCACCACCACCGCCTCCTCCACCCATACCACTACCTTGAAAGGCAACTGGATTTAAACCAGTTCGTATGGGATATTGTACAGAACCGCCTCCCATGCCTCCATCACCTGAATTAGGGTACATATTTCCTCCGCCACCACCGCCTCCGCCGCCACCACCACCTCCTCCTCCATGAAATGCAGAAGCCATATTGTTCTGAAAACCATATTGTTGAAAGGAATTCGTCGATTGTGGATGCCCCTGCATCATGTTGCGCTGCCAGGCATTTGATTGGCCACCAAATGACATTTTCGTTTCTTGTTTCCACTTGTTTAATTGCAAATAATAATTATTTAAAATACTTATTCTCTTTTAATGGAAAAAATAATTAATTCTTTATGTGACCAGCCGAAAAAATGCCGACTTTTTGCAGTGCTGCCAATTTTTATTGCAAAAGGTAGCAATTCACCGAAAAATGATGCCCAGTGTGTTCATGGAATGTCACATTCACACTAAGGTGTTAACACATGAAAGTTTGAGAAGCTAAGGAAACAGTGCTGCCAAACAGGAATTCATTGCTTCCAATAACGAAGTAGATTTTAAAACATTGAGCAAATAATGATGTTTATAATTTATTCTTCGCATAAAATAAGGAAATCCACGAAAGTAACAAGTAGGCCACCTATCTGTATGGAATGAAGTAAAGGAAAACATTCACAAAAAATGATAACTCATGAAAATTTGCAGAATAAAGGAAACAGTGCCATAGACAAATGAAAATAAAGACAACGAAATGCTCTTACCGTTTATCTTCGAAAAAAAAAATCGGATTAGCAGATGTCGTCTATTCGTTTCAGGGGTTTGAGCGGAAATATTGAAGTCACTCAATTCTTAAATGTTAAAAATAACAAATATTTTATTTGTCTATGAAAATTGTTACATAATAAAAGAAATGTGAAAAGTACGTGATGACATCCAAAAATTCCGGAATAATCAAGCGAAATCCTTGAAAAACGATAAATGTGCTGTCGAAGTCGAGTGGGTTGAACGCGTGTTGTCAGCATGTTGACTATGCAAAACATGAAGAGAGCCACCTGGATAAAAAGACAAAACTAACTTTTCGTTGTCTATATCTTCATTTGTCTATGTGCCATGTTACCAATAATAGTGAGGATAATAATTTCAATAACTAAATCAAGGATATTCCCCAAACAATGTGTACGCGGAGAAGTTTTAAAATGAAATAACCAAGAAACATTCACAGCAAAATGATAACTCGCGCATGTTAGCAGAATAAAGCAAGCAGTGCTACCAATCACCAATGCTGCCAATATGATGTTGCAAGGCAGTTTTCATGCAAATATTCAATTTAAAAGTTTTTATAATTGTGAATTTGTTTGGTTTACATACTCCTTAAGATATTAAAAGAAAATAATTGTAGAAATACGTTAAATGGAAAATTTTCCAACCAGAACGATTTATGTTTTAAAACAAACTAAAAATATATAGTCACAATATCTTACCTATCTCAAATTTTCAACAAAGAGAAAAGTGAAACTCTTTTATATATTTTATTTATTATTTATTTTTAAAGTTTGAAATAAGTTACAAATTAATAAATTATTTGCTAAGCTTATTGGACAAAAAGTTTTATTGTGTTATTATCAAGACACCCTACTAGCAATCAATTACAGTGACCACCAAAAAAGAAGAATTTAAGAAATGGTGTTAGGCTTCTTTTCTATAGTACAGCTAAGAGAAAATATAAGAAAATGAAAAAAAAATTAAATACAATTTTTATTTATATTTATTTAAATACTTAGTATTGCATTAAACGTTGATGCTGCCATACATTCTACCAAGTGGTGTTGTAGTACAAGCAATATTGTTGTTGTTGTTTTTTATTATTTAAGTACAAAAAAACCTTTAGCCAAAAATAATTTAATGTCATTAGCTAACAGTGAGTGAGTGTAAATTTTGAAAATATAAAGCAGGAGTTTCCATATAACTTTTTTTGTACATGTTGTTTATGTTTTGGAAATGTTTTTAAAAAATTATTTCTTTTTTATTTTTGATTTAATGAAATCATCAACATATTAAAAAATACAGTTTAAAGTGTAAAATGAAAACAATAATAGATATAAAAAATATTCTTAAAATATTCAAAAATCTAACCTAGAAAAAATAATCTCATAGCATAACCTCAAATTATGGTAAAATATAAAACTGATTATAGCTTATCAAAAGCATAATGTTTTCATACAAAATTATTAAAAAAATATTGAAGACTATCAGTCAAAAATTAAAAAAAAAAAAAATAAAAATGCTTTCCCTTAATCTTAGCCTATTTCATAAATAGAAGAAAGGAAAAAATAAATTCAGACATAATCTTTTCAAATGTGGAATTTTCAACAATATTGAGATTCATTTGTGTGTGTGTGTTTGTTGTTTTTCAGTGTAGAGGATAATAAGTGTATGTGTGAGTGTAACATTACATTATTTTTTTGTAATTATTTACTTAGATATTAGTGTATTTTTGAACAAAATAATTGTTGGCTTAATATTTCTGAATATTAATCGAACATGTGTAATTGTTATTTTGAATAAATATTTAAATAAAATTTTTAAATTTTGCAATTCATATTTTATATGAATAATTTTGAAAAAAAAAATTGTGATTATTTAAATAATAATTATTTTTGAGGAATAAATTCGTTTTGAAATATATTCATAATTTGTGTTCATTTTTATCTCTCTCGATTTTGAGACAAAATAAATAAAATAAAAAATTTTTAAACAAAAAAAAAATAAATAAATATAATCTTAAATATTTTGAATTCCTTAGTTGTCGAATAAAGTAAAAATTCTTATAATTTCTATTATATTATGTTGCCATTGTTGTTGTTATTTTTTTCTTTAATTGGTGTTGATTGTTTTTTGTTTTCTTTTGTTTGCAAGTTGTTTTTGTTTCGTTAAGTTTGTTGTTGCCGTTTGTTTTTATAAATCTGCAAGCTCTCCCAATTCGTTTGTAATTTTTTTACGAGTCATCCGTCCCTTTAGGCATCTTCAACCCGACCCATGGGACGTAAAACAATTCGGGGATCTGGTTCAAGCATGCGATCAGATTCTTCAGCACTGCTGAGGCTACAAAAAATGAGAAAAAAATTTAGATTATCAATTTTTTTAATAAAAATGCTCTTTAAGAATTTAAAAGCTATAAACAAAAGAAATATTGAAAAAAATATCAACAAATTATTTAATATATTTAAAAAAAATTAAATTTTATATTTTTTTGAAATATTTTTGAAAATATTTTATCTTTTTTAATCAAACTCTCGATGGGAGTCTCCGATTTGGTCCAAACTTGGTACATCCTAATATTATTGTCAAACATAGATCGAGGTCGGAGTTGAGCAATATCGATCCACTCCTTCTGGTACCTCCCTCACAAAAGGTCGAAATTTTCAATGAAAATATTTTACTGCACAGAGATAGAAAGAATAATCCGATTTTTCTTCAACTTTGCAAATCCTAATATTTGCATCAGTTCTAGGTCAGGTGAGAAAATGGATAATATCGGTCCACTCCGTCAAGTACCTCCCCCACAAAGTGTCAAAATTTTGAATAAATCTAACTCCTATAAAATGTGATGTAAGTGTTCGATTGTCTTCAAATTACACACAGTTCATTATTTTTATTTACGCAAGTCCTGGCGTGAAGATGGAATATATAGGTTCACACCTTCTGGTACCTCGTCCTCAAAAATTCAAAAATTTTGAATCTTCATGAAGTTCATAAAACCCAAAATGATCATCCGATTACGTTCAGACTTGGCGCAACTCAATATTTCTATCAACACAAAATATGTTATAAAGATGGTAAAGATCCGACCATTCCTTCTAGTACCTCCCCTACAAAGGGTCAAAGTTTTGAATAACCAAAACGATTATAAAAGCTAAAATAAGCATCCGGTTCTCTTCGTATTTCACACATCCCATTAATTCTACTAACACAAGATCTGCTGTGAATATGGTAATGATCGGACCATACCTCATGGTACCTCCCCAGTAAATGGTCAAAATTTTGAACTTATAAAACCCGAAATTAACATCCGATTCCATTCAGACTTGGTACATCTCTATATTCCTATCAACACCAGATCTGTTACAAAGAAGGTGGAGATCGAACCATTCCTTTTGGTACCTCCCCCACAAAGGGTCAAAGTCTTGAATAACGAAAACTAGCATAAAATCCGATATAAGCATCCGATTCTCTTCAAATGACACAAATTACAGTATTTTTATTTACCCAAGGTCTGGTGTGAAGATGGAATATATCTCTCCACTCCTTCTGGTACCTCCCCCACAAAGGGTCAAAATTTTGAGTATCCTTCGATCTCATAACCCGCGAAATTAACATTCGATACCATTCAGACTTGGTACATCTCAATAATTTCATCACCACCAGATTTGTTATAAAGATGGTAAAGATCGGACCATTCCTTCGGGTACCTCCCCCACAAAGGGTTCATCATTTTGAAAAACAAAACGCTCATTAAATCTGAAATAAGCATCCGATTCTCTTCATATTTCACACATCCCATTATTTCTACTAACACAAGATCTGCTGTGAAGATGGAAGAGATCGGACTATTTTTTCTGGTACCTCCCCCACAAAGGGTCAACATATTGAATATTCATGAAGCTCATGAAACACGAAATTAACATCCGATTTCATTCAGACTTGGCACATCCCAATATTTCCATCAACACAAGAATTGTTATAAAGATGGTGGAAATCGGACAATTCCTTCTGGTACCTCCCGCACAAAGGGTCAACGTTTTGAAAGAACAAAACGTTCATTAAATCCGAAATAAGCATCCAGTTCTCACAATATTTCTACTAACCCAAGGCCTGCTGTGAAGATGGAATGTATCGGTACACTCCTTCTGGTACCTCCAGAATTCTCTCTTCAAATTTCACACATCCAAATATATTTGCTAACGCAAGATCTGTTGTGAAGATGATATTTATCTGCCAACCCCTTCTGGTACCTCACCCACAAAAGGTCAAAATTTCCAATACTTATATCTGTCATAACTTGCGAAACAAATCGGCGATTCTTTACAACTTGCGATATCTAAATATTTCTCTTAACCAGAAATCTGATATGAATATTTATTCTATCGCAATTTATGATTTCGCATAAAATTGGACATAAATGTTCGATTTCCTGCAAATTTCCCAATGCCAATTTTTTATCTGTTTTAGATATTTCCACAATTTCCAAGACTTGGCACATATCCCATATAAAGTATTGGAAGTAGAAGATTTAGTCCAAATCTGACACATTGTAGTGGTTAATATTGGCCAACTGCTTCCCAACTTCCCCCCATAAAGGGTCAACAGTTTGAATAATCACAGCTCAAGGCTGGGTCGGCAAAAACCACCGATACTATTTTACTTATTTTCTTAAAATTTAAATTGATTTAAAAAAGGCCTTCCATCTAAAGTAAGACTTTAGACCTCTCATTCGTAGAAGACAACGTCAAGTTAAATTCTTTGTAAAATTACAATATGATGCGGTAAATATTCTGATTGTATGGGATGAAATTGAAAAAAAAAAAACTGAATAGACCTTAACATTGCCAGTAATTTATATTTGCCATCGGATTTGATCTTTGTTGCTCACATCAACACTTTAAATTAGATGTAATTGAATCATCAGCATAACCGCATTGTATAATACCATGGAGCTGAATCATTTTAAATCATTGCGAAAGAAATTCTAAGCAGATATAATTTTATAATAATTTGAATTCATTTACACAGACTTTTTGCTAATATAGCAAATTGTGTGCCATAAATTTAAAATACATGTATATTTATATATCGATGCCATCAAAAAGATATAATTCCAATTTAAATATTGTCAGGAAAACCTCCATTTTCATTATTTCTCTAGTTCCCCTTTCAGAATTCCATTAAAATGATTTGTTGTATCCACATCTTTACATATATCTCATTCTTATGAATAATCATAGCCTTATTTATAGAAAAAACAAATCACAGCAACTTTTCTCTTAACATCATCAACAGCAACAACAACCACAAAAATGTAAAAAACAAAAACAAACCCCATCTCTTATGACTATGGCGCTCTAACTAATATTTTTCAAATACCACATTATCATACCAATCTTTATTATCTGGCATCAAGGATGGCAGCTCGGAGACGGGAGCGTATTGTGTGTGCGAGACCAATGGATCTGTAGATGGATTCAGGGCCATAATTCCTTGGCCGCCGCAACCGCCATCCACATTTTGACATTGTAATTGACGGGCCAACGATTGTTTCTTGTCGAAAAAGGGACAAGGACACACACAGCTGCGACGCCAATCGGCCACTTTAAGATAAACGCCTACGGAATGACAAAGGAAAAATCATTTCTTTACTTACAAAACATGTACACACACACGTAGTTATACTTACCCATGGCCGCCAGTCCCAAACATGTCATAAACACACCGCCCAATATAATGCCCAAAGGAATTTCCACACAAGGATTGACGGCCTCGTGGGTCTCACTTGTACTAGATTCTTCCGTTTGTTGTTCGCCACTATCTGTTTTGGTATTTTCTACGGCATTAACGGGGGGTGTTTGCTCCTTTAATTGTCGCACATATTCCTGATCTTCTATCCAATCAACATAGCCACTGGCCAGCATGGCCACACCGGCAGCCAATGCAATCAATGCGAACAGCAATAGAGCAACTTGGGGTTTGGGTTTGCGAAAAATACGCAATGGAGAATCAACTCCCATTGAGGATGCCGGTCCTAGAAAGCCCATGCCACCTCCAGAGCCATTACCACTGCTTGAGCGTGGCTCATAGGAGACTGTGGTGGGCTGATAAACAGGTCCGCCACAAGATGGCATTGTGTGTTTATTTTTTCTGTTTTTGTTGTTTTATCACCACGTAATTATCTTTTTTTCTTCGTTGTGTAGTGTTTTTTTTTTTTGTTGTTCTTGTTATTTTTCTTGTATTTCCACCCAACACCTGTATTATTCTTTTTCACCTGTGTTGTTTTTGTTGTTGTTCTTGAAGATTTTGTAAATACACTTGTTCTTCTTGTAGTTGTTGCTGCTTTTAATGGTCTTTCTCGTTACACAGCACACAACAGCAATAACAAATAATTCAATTTGCTTTTATTTTGCTTCTCATTAAAACATTTAAAAATAACTTCAGTTGAATTAAAAAACAATAAAACGAAACCACAGAAATCACTATTCAGCTAATCATTCACAATAACGACTTTCTTTCTTCTTGTGTTTTTTTTCGTTCACAATAATCCGAGTTATTTTCCCTTATCCTTGTTCTCCTGAGACGGACAACAATTAGCTAAACCTTCTCCTTGTTTTTTCTTTTCTCCGAAGGTTGAAGGTTAAAACAAATAATGTAATCAATATTCTCCGTTCGCACACAATGTTTATCACTTTACATCTGTTCTTTTATTATTCATTATTTTATTTTAACTTTAGTTTTTATTGGCAATAAACTTATTTATTTTATGTTCGTGTAAACCTGCTGCTCTTAACAACTTACAAGAATGGTTGAATTTTCAATTTTCCCGATTGTGTGTGAATGTTTGGCTGTGTGAGTGAGAGAGTGCAAACGGAGAGAGAGAGAGAGAAACAGCAGCAGCAGCCGCGAATTTGTATGAGAAGAGGAATGCAAAGAATTTTATTGCGAATGTGATGGAAAACGGAATTTAAGATCTAATGTAATAACGGTAAATGGCAAGAATTAAAGGGCACCATTGTTTTTCGCTGCAATGTTTTCAGTTCTTAAAAAAATGGTAAAAAAACCAACTTTTATATGCTGCGTTGTCCTATGTTTTTTTGTTCATGACACAAGAAGTATGTATGGCAGATTAATTTCAAAGGAAATGAAAGATATGCAACCCTGCAATTGTAACTTTTAAAGTATGCTCACAATTTGCTTTGATTTTTGTAATTTGTTCTCAAATATCTTAAATTGAATAAATAGGAATAAAACAAAAATGAAATTTTGGGGTTTACCTTTTTGATTCTTCTATGGCCGAATCCGGTGATTTAATAATTTAGGATTAACTTAACCAAGTAAAGGAGTCTTAAGAGAACAACTCTAGTTTAGTAAAAATTCTTAGATTTTTTCGAAGTTTTTTCCAGACGTAAGTTTTTTATCCTGATTCTGGAAATCCATTTTTTCCTAGGGGACGGACACGAGACCTCAGAATTTTGAACCGAATGTCCACTTACCCGATATAGACAATATAAGTATCGTTTGAAAGCTTAAAATACGTATACAACAATTAAGGTGTGAGTAACATAAAGGGATGCCAGAGCCGTACTCGAATCCTGTCGTCGTTTCCCCTAATTATCTGACATTAAAATGTCTAGTTATGATGCCAAGCTGGTTATGTACCGTCACCTTTAGAATTGAAAATTGTAGCATTTTGGAAAGGTGTCAGCTATAATTTGGCATCACTTTTGTTCACTCCCCATAATGGGGCCTTTTTCGACTTTTCCAAAAAAATCGATTATTTGACTATAATTTCCGAACAGCAGTAAGTAACCTCATCTTCGATAGGTATTTTCATAAGCCTTCAGCCGGATAGGTATTTTCATAAGCTTTCAAACGATACCTACATTGTCTATATCGGGTAAGCGGATCCGAATCTAGACCGGGTCTTGAACCCGGACTTTCTTATATTTTTTTTTAAATGTTTAAAAATTTAAAAATAAATCGAGATTTTTTAAAAAATTTAAATTTTTTTAATGAAAATAGAGATTTTACTAAAAATTTACATTTTTTAAAATAAATTTTCATTATCCTTCACTCAGATAGGTATTTTTATAAGCTTTCAAACGACACCTATTTTGTCTATATCAGGTAAGCGGATTCGGATCTAAACCGGGTCTTGAACCTGGACTTTCTCATAATTTTTTTTTAAATTTTTTAAAAATTAAAAAAAAATCTAGTTTTTTAAAAAGTTTAAAATTATTTAATATATTTAGAGATTTTTCTAAAAATTTATTTTTTTTTCTTAAAATTTATTTATTTAATTTAATGAATTTAAAATTTTGTTAATAAAATTACATTTTTGATTTAATTATTTTTAAATAAAATTTTTTCAGGGTAAGAGGAAGGAAGAGTTTTTACTAAACTAGAGTTAAGCTCAAAAAGTTCTATTTTTTAAAAATACCAAAAGAATCCGTTGGAAAAAAGGTTGTATCGCTATTACGGAACCATACCAATACGTAACGCAATGGTAAAAGAATAAAGGTAGTCGCATCGACACAGCTGCTGGGACAATGAACTGTCAAATTCATTTTGAAATTGAAAATTTTGAATGAAATTATATTCAAATTCGTTAAAATTGTTAAAAAAAATGCATATCATAAGAACCTCCAATTGGCGACGTATAAGAAAACATATAAAAAATTACATATTTTTGAAAAAAATAATACTTTAAAAAAAATTTGACATATTAATATTTTAAGAGTTGATTCGAATTCGAAATCCTCCTACCAAGCGTAAGCCCAAAATGACAATTTTTAGCTATTGGAATTTGGTTCGTTCCAGAACTGTAATAATGTAAAAGTTTTTACTACGAAAACCGATTCCCTTTATAATATCGAAAAAAATTGCAAAACTAGAAGATTCTTGCAGGTTCTGGAACAGACCAATTGTTAAATATTTTGTGTTTCCCATACCATATTTGGAACAATTCCGTAGACAAATGTGGTTAAAAACATTAAAATACTGAATATTCTGAGGTACCATCATATGGAGCTTATGGGAAAACGTGGACATAAACAGAAGGTAGACCCGGGTAAAAATTCTAAACACCAAATTTGGGACTATTCCCTTAAAATGGATAAATGGGGGCTATAGAAAAACGTTCCCGTCTATGATTTCACACGGCTTTTCGATATTTAACTAACTTCAAATGCTATACATGTGCTACGCTGAGCCGTTTGAAAAATATTGCTATTTTTGTCGAAAACACTTTTCCAAACCTCTAAAAATGGACACTCTTAGCTCTTAGCTTTCTGGTACTAACATATTTTTCTTATGATAAACTTCGCTATAAATCCTTTAATAAAGAAAAACTTCACATATTGCGTCAATTGAAACGCTCGAACGCTTTTCGACATTCGCCCAACGTCAAACGCCATACGTGCGCATATTCCCTCAAACTTTTGAGGGATTTTGTCATTTTTGCCGGGGAAAATCTCCACACACACTCACTAAACGGTGGGTAACTCTTGCCGCCTTTTCTTACGCAATTTTTCCAAAAACAACTACCGCTAATCTGTAACGCATTTGAAAACGCCGGCCCATTGCACGTGAACTTGCAGAGAGTATCATTGGAAAATTCAATCAATTCGAAATATTTGCTGTCGCTTTAAACACAGGTAAATAAGAAACAGAAAACATGTCGTTCCTAGGGGCAACACTGGCACGATGCGTCAAGATGACAGCTGGCAGCACCAACTCCTCAGCTTCGTTTTCGTTGCTGACAACTGGAATCAAATCGGCTCAGTTGCAATTTGGATTCCTCAGTGTACGCAATTTCGCTAGCAAAATGGGTTTACCTCGTGTCTTCTTTGATATGACCGCTGATGGTCAACCTTTGGGCCGCATTGTTATGGAGGTAAGAGAGTTAATGCATTTTAGTTTGCCTTCTTTAATTTCGATTAAAGTTTTGTCATTAATTATTAGGACATTTTTTGCAAAAGAAATCTTAGTGAAAAATAATTTGATATAGAGAAGTAAATGTGTGAGTGCGTGTTATTTGTATGAGCGTGTGTGCGTATGTGTTTTATGGAATAGCAAAAGGAATTTCAAGTATTTGCTTGCAATGGTGTGTTGTTTCGTGGTTAAAGAACAAAATACAGCGATAAAAAGTGAGGTTAGGCTGAAGCATAGTGTTTTTTATTTTATATTTTTCTGCAAGAATTCCAACTTGCAGTTAGCAAAAATTGCAAACGACACGCCGCTGTGTTTGTTGTAAAATGTGAATGTGTGCTGGCTGGCTGGGTCGGTGTTGGAAGAAGAAAAAAAAATGATTAAAGCAAGGATGCGCATGTGTTGGTATGGCCGCCGGGTGGTGTTGGTGAACGAACGAATCAACCAACCGACCGACCGATGACATATCGTTGTAATAGAAAACGTGAGAATTAAACGACAGACAATGGGGGACATCTCTTGGCAGCTTTTTATTTTTTGGTATTGCTTATTTAGAGTAAAGGAACCCCATTGCTTTGAGATTCTAAAGATTGTTTTGGGGGTACAGTAAAACATGTCAAAAATAACTTAATTCGGCACACTCAACATCAATCATTCGATGAAGGCTTGCCGGCCGGCGGCGGGAAATTGTTGATGTCATGTTATCTATTTAGCGTCATTATGTGTTTGCGAGGAGGAGGTATTTTCTGCCTTAGTGTTGGCGTGTAAGAGGCTTTGATTAGTATAACTTTCAAGTTTGAAGAAGTGAAAAAAAGAACGAGCGAATGAACGAAAAAAAAAACTTGCTTGTATTTTAATCAAGTAGTTGCTGCTGGTATTTTTTGTCTTCTCTTGTTCCCGCCTCGTGTTATTGGCCTATGTGTTTATTGTTCTCACCTATTCATGTGTGTGTGAGTGCGCGCGCCTCAGCGGCGTTTTCTGTTGCAGCGCCGCCTTAATACTTTTTCTTTTTTGGAATATTCCATTTTGTTCTTTGGAGTATTTGTATTCTATGATAAAAGTTTATATTTTATTCTTTGTTTAAACAGAGTAGAGATTGCAAAGCAAATTTTATTTTAAACAAGAACCACTGTTTTCTGTGGTTTTATTGGTTTAGTAAAAGTACCTGGATCATGTTTTTTTTTTTTTTTTGCACACATGCCGAAGCAAGCAAATGACCAGTGATGACCTTGAGTTTAAGCGCATGAGTTGTAATACACAACGGCATAAGGCGGCTGAAAACTATTCTAAAGAAAAGTGGAGAAATTAATCTCTGCATTTCTTAACGAATATGTCATTTATTATTGCTTTTAATTGCATATTTCTCATACGATTTGTTTTTAATATTAATCCAATTGGATTCCTATTGTACTCAATCGTGACTTGTGAGAGTGGTGAGAGAAAATCATCATTCACAATAGTGGATGTAATGCCTGGCTGGCGAATTGCCAGAAAGACGAATGAAAAAACACTTAAAAGAAGAATAAGGAAGTATCAAGGAAAATCATATCATTTTAAGTAGAGGAAATAAGAAAGAAGGAAGTGTAAAACAAATACAATAATTGTCTTAAAATGAAAGGGGAAAATAGAGTGCATATGTGAGGTGTGTTTGACAGGGGCAAATACTCAATTTTTTCAATGAAGTTTTTTTTTTTTAAGTACTTTTTGGAGTAAGACATGGAGGATAACCCAATTTGGTATAATCAGACATTAAGCGGCCATGAAGATTTGTTTTTTTTTTCAATAAATTTAGAGTTTAAATAGGTATTTTGAGAGGAAAAATTGGCATTTTGTGCTGTCATTTCATATGACATTTTGTTTGAGGCATTTGCTGCAAGACCCAACTGAATAGTGAATAAATGATTTTCCATTTATGACGTCGAAATAAATGCAAAACAAGTAGATTCTTGCAGGTTCTGGAAGAGAGCAAAGTTGTGGCGTCTGACTTTGGTAGATTTATTTAGCCTTTGCTCTGTAGCTTCAACAACAGGAACGCAGTAGTTAAGCACAATGGCTCTGTATCCTGCCTTTTTATACCCTCTACCATAGTATGGAGGGTATGTTAAGTTTGACATTCTGTTTGTAACGCCACGAAATGTACATTTAAGACCCCACAAAGTTTATATATTGTTGATCAGCATAAAATTCTATGTTGATTTAGCAATACATAAGTATATTATACCTGCAGGACTTGTGATATTGAAAATGGGCCATGTAGGTCCACGTTTTGGTATAGCCCCCATATAGTGGTACCTTCCTATTTTCGGTATTTTGTTGATTTAGGTGGCATTTTTCACCGTAAATGTTTCAAATTTGGTATTTGAAGTTCGTAGTGGATAACACAGCCTATGACAGAAAATTGTCCGTGCAGGTCCACGTCTTTGTATAGTTGCCATATAAAGGTACCTCCCGATATTCGATATTTTCATGATTTAGCGACACTTCTTTTCAGCGATTTTTTTTTCAAACTTTTAGTTGGTATTTTTGTTGAAGAAGCCTACTTTTTGGAGATGGAGACAGGTTGTGCAGCCTCATCTCACCAATTATTATTATTTTTGGTTTCAGGAAAAGAAATGTAAATTTAAGGTATTTTTATGTTTAAGAAACCTTACTTTTTGGAAATGGAAAAAGAGGCCTCATCACCAATTAATATTATTTTTAGTTTTATTGAAAGAAATGTACATTTTATGGGAGAAAGAGAGTTTAGTGAGATAAATGTCAGTTATTCAACGCCCTTCTCTTTCCGTTAAACGTTATGCATGTGTTTACATTACAATACAATAGAAGATACCATTCACAATGGCAATGTAAATAATGATATGAAGTGGCCTGGCCACATGTCAATCAACTTGTTTAGTTTAATGAATACATATTTTGTTTATGTATTGATTTAGATCTCAATTGTGCATATCTATGTTTTTATAGACATAATGACATTTGTAATTCAATACTCTTCAGTATATTAAAATTATCAATAAAAAAATAACCAACAGGTGGTTAATGGATGACCTATTATAAACTGTTTACTTAACAATTGCTACATTCACCTTCCCATATTATATTTATAGTTAGAGGTATCTCTTCATAATCTATTCGACCGGCGTATTCATTTACCCTTTATTTTTTTACAAAGGAACAATTTATTATTATTGATATGGAACAAATTCTTATCATGAACCAACCATTGGTGGTTGACTTTTTTTTACTGGCTATCAGTTACCTTTTCCAAATCGTGTGTAAAATGTAATAATAGAAACATTTGCTGTTTCTTCCAGCATTATCAGTTGGCGGTTGTTTTTCCAGAATTGTTAGTTTTGTTTGATAAGTAATCACAGCCACAACCCCAGCCCCCCATGGCAACTTAGAAACTTGTAATCTTTTCTGTTTTCTAAGCAAAAGGGGGCAGTATTTTAATATATTTGCTCTCAATATTGTTTTAAACTTTTTTTTATATAAAAACAATTGTTTTTCTGTACGAAAAAAAGCTTTTAAACACCAATGCAAATTACTATGAATTATTAATAATTCGCAACCCCAATTTATGAAATATTAAATACCATTAGAAAAGGTCACATTTCGTTACATATTCACAGCATTTTTTATTGAATGCACCAAATTACCAGGTTGTAAATAATGTCATGCCATTGTTGGGACGCCACACCCCCACCGAACCAAAAAGCCAGATAAATGTAGCCAAATTATAGATTCAGTTCTTTGCCGCCTACAATTTGAACTTATAAATGTTTAAAAACCAAAAAAAAGGATTGTTAAATATTTTATTGTGACACGAAACTATTTGTTTATCACTCGCCCCAGAATATAATCAATGTGGGTGGTAAGACGGCAGTGAGTACCACCACCTCAGTGGGCAGGCAGCCGGACAGCCAGACAGATTAGCTAGCCACCTACTTACTCATTATTTCGCAATAATAAATTTCGAAATAATAAACCATGGAAAAGCCCAAAGTTCAACGATAAAACTGCAGGGCAACACATGTCATTGATATCGTTATATATACATATATATGTATGACATGTGGATATTATTAAATGCGAGCAGAGGCAAATTGCCTTAACTGCCGTTGGACTTACTAATTGGACAAGTTATGCATTAATTTTAGGCAATTTTGTATCGGACCTCTACCCTACCTCCCTCCCTCCCCGATCAAAACTAGGTTTTTCGTAATGAAACTATTTTTTCTTTTGAGGTCCCCTCGTATAAATAGCAGAAATCGATTGAATTTGAAAATTTTATTGGAGGGGGAGGACATATGAAAGCCATAAGAAGTAATGTTTGATTCTCAGGACAATTTATGTGTATACGATATATAAAAGGCCAAGCGGACATGTGACATTGTCAACCAAGCATATGCATGTCGTCCTCCCTCCCTCTATATCCTTTTTAAAAAATTGCACAAAATGACTTTCGATTGATTGATGGATTTCTGCAATCATCATCATACATTACATTTAACATTTTCAATCAATATTGTCGAACATTAATTTATTGTTTCAATATATTATTTAAATTATCAACATTTTGAAAATGTTGATTTAATAATCCTCTCCTACCTCTTCTCCACCTCCTCCTCCTGCACCACCACCAAAACAGAACTTGTTTGAAATATTCAAGACCAACCAACCACACTCTGATGTCATAACTATTATAAATTCTCTATTTAAAAAAAAAAAACATATGCATGTGAAATAATATTTAGCAAACAATGATGTAGAAAGAAATGATTCATTTTTATTTTTTTGTATGTGTGTTATAATTAAAGTCATTTCAATTTTTTTTCTACGAATTACCTGTTTGGTGGCACGATGTGCGATAGATTAGTAAATTATCAATATAAATTTTTTGGTTCTGTTCTTTTTTATACCCTCCACCATAGTATGGAGGGTATATTAAGTTTGTCATGCCGTTTGTAACACCTCGAAATATGCATTTTAGATCCCACAAGGTATATATATTCTTCAACAGCATAAAATTGTTGTTGTTGTTGTTGTAGCAGTAGTACATGTGTGAGTTTGTGTTCTGCTAATCTGGTTCCAGCTCCAGGTTTAGAAATTCGGCTACTTTAACGGGCTGTAGCCAGAGATCCTCTGGAGTGAGTTGGGTAGGTTTGGCTGAGCAATTAAAAAGGTGTAGCGTATTGTGCGGGCCTGTATCGCACGCCGGGCAGGCGTCACGCACATCTTCATCAATTCGTGCCCAATATGAATTGAGGCGACTACACCATCCTGAACGTAATTGCGCCAAAACTACCCTGGTTTGTCTAGGCAGCTGACGTTCTTCGGCTGCAATGGATGGGGGGTGGACTCCGAGGACGGCATTCACTTTATAACTGCTAATAGCATCCGCGACTGCATCGGTGTGAATGCCACTCAGACCTGCCTGATAGGCTTCTTGATCTAGAGGTTCTCACTTGTAGCGCTGGACCTCCCTCTCTAGATCATGTATGTCCTTCCTGACACGCCTGGGTGGGGGAGAGTTATCCACCATATGATGGTTAGGATGGCTCTCACGGTAACACCCAAGCAGGTACTGCAACGAAAGCATATGATTATGCTGACGTAAGGGAAGGACTTTCGCCTCCTCATGTAGATGGTCCACTGGTGTCATGAGGAGGCACCCTGTCGCAGTTCTCAGGGCAGCGTTCTGGCAGGTCTGGATATTCTTCCACTGCGTAGCACTAGTATTCGCAGACCACACTGGAGCCGCATAGTTGACCACAGACCGACCTATCGCGTTATAAGAGGTCAACAAGGTTTCTTTGTCCGCACCCCAAGAGCTGCCGGCTAGCGCCTTGAGGACCTTGTTCCTACTTTTCACCTTGTCGCAGATAGCTGTGGCTTGCGCGGACGACTTGAACATGCTGTCGAACGTTACCCCAAGAATCTTGGGGTAGTTCGTGGTCGGTATTAAATTCCCCTCGACCTGAACATTCAGCTGTGTTCTCATCTCCGCAGACCATGTGGTAAAGAGTGTGGCCGTTGATTTCGTGGCGGATATTTTCATATTCCTCGCGTGGAAGTATGCGGCAAGCTCCGCGAGATAGGGGTTCAACCTTTCGCATATGTCATCGACCACTGGACCCGACGCCATGATCGTACAATCATCCGCATACGTTACGATCTCAATGCCGTCTGGAGGGCGAGGAATTCCGGAAAGGTAGAGGTTAAACAGTTCCGGAGATATCACCCCACCTTGGGGAACTCCCTGTTTCACTCTACGGGCTTTGGACTTCTTGTTCCGGAATTCCACGTACGACTGGCGTCCACACATATAGTTGATTATCCAACGTTTCAAACTTGGCCGGAGGGTAGTTCTCTGTACGTCCTCAAACAGTGTGGCATGATTGACCGTATCAAATGCCTTTGATAGGTCAAGGGCTACCAACACTGTTCTGTCACACGGCCTGTTCTGGTTTAGTCCTCTACTAATATGTGAGGAAATGGCGTGCAATGCTGTTGTGGTACTATGTTGTGGACGGAATCCATGCTGGTGGTTGGCAACTGTATAGCTTCCTCTAATGCTGGGGAGGAGTAAAGCCTCAAGAGTCTTTGCTACTGGCGACAAGAGCGAAATCGGCCTGTACGATTCGCCTTTGCTGGCATCCTTGCCTGGCTTCAGTAGCGGGACCACCCGGCCCATTTTCCAGGTTTCGGGCACTATGTGGGTGGCTAGCGACAAGTTGAGAACTTTCGTTAAGTACTCGACTCCCGGCGTATCCAGCTGCTTCAACATTACCATTGAGATTCCGTCCGGGCCCAACGCTTTGGATGACTTAGCGTTACGGATGACATTTGCAACATCACCCATCGTAAACTGTGGTGGTTCCTCCTCGGCGGGAAGAGATCTGATACGACGTAGTACTCTTCGCTTCGCCCTATCACTCTCGGGGTGCTCGACAAATTGTCGGTTAAAATATTCCGCGCACCTCTTCGGATCAGTCACCGTTACGTCGTTAAAAGTGACTGAGGTCCTATCATCCTTTTTTCCAGGGTTCGAGAGCGACTTAACCGTTACCCACAGCTTACTCATATCGGTTCCAATGTTGCAGCACTTCAGATGATCTAGCCACTTTTTCCTCTTATGCTCCTGTACCAACCGGTTGACTTCCACTGTCAAATCACTGATTCTAGGATCAGTAGGGTTGGTACGACGGAGATCATCACGCTCGTTTGCTATTCCCGCTGCCTCTGCTGGGAAGTTTGGTCTTATCTCGGGTATTCGACCAGCAGGTATATAGCGAGCGGCTGCAGCTCTGATGATGTTTCGGAAAATCCTTTCTGCTACCCGAACATCAGAAGGGTTGGGCAGTTCTCTGAAGCGGCGGTTGGTGAATTCTCTGAACTCTGGCCAGTGAGCTTTCCTATGGTTAAGGAAAGTGCGGCGTTCAGAGGTTATGAAATCGGGCGACCTGCTTATGGAGACGATTATCGGGAGATGGTCTGAGCCAAGAGAAATGACGGGTTGCCAAGTCACGTCATTTATCAGACCGGGTGACACTATGGTTAAGTCTGGCGAACTGTGACACTCTCCTCTTATTCGGGTGGGGGCATCCTCGTTAACCGTGCAGAATGTGGAGCAGTCAATCTGCTCTGCCAGCGCTGATCCCCTCTGGTCATTACCTAGGACGGAATGCCACAACTCATGGTGGGCATTAAAGTCCCCTAGTACCAGGCGGTTATTGCCTACCAATAATGGGCTAATATCAGGCAAATAACGCGGTTCACAGCTATTAATCGGCGGGATATACACATTAAGCACCTCTACCTCGGCAGTTCCGCACTTGACTGCTACCCCCATACATTCCATGTATGGGTCACTAGAGACTAGCTCAAGCGAGATAGGTCTGTACTGAACAGAATGGTGTAACAGGAACGCTAATCCCCCACCTCCACTTCTGGTGCGATCCTTCCTTAGTACGTTGTAACCATAACAACGTTGTAGGCTGCAATTTTCATTCAGCTTGGTTTCCTGCACCGCTGCGATCTTAATATTCCTCCGACTCATAAATTCCACTATCTCATTTATTTTGCCTCGAAGTCCATTGCAATTGAATTGCAAGAATGACGCACAATCCGGAGTTGGAACAGCAACATGTGGCGTTAGGTGCTGCGGTGTTGGTTGCTGTTCTGGAGACTGCGGTGGAGTGCCATACTCCGACGACGTCTCTGACGAGGACGACGAAGAAGAGGACTCGCTGGGGACTACGTTACTGCAGCAAGTCGCAACATAATCCCTTTCGCTGTAGTCTCGCAAACGCCTTAATCCGGAACAGTTCTTGAAGTGCACCCACTCTCTGCATCCATTACATCGCACCGAGACAGATCTGTGGTGGATGACGTTCTGACAAACCGAGCAGAACCAAGGTCCGGGGTTTTCCTCAATCCCGGCACGGACCAATAAAATCCGGAGCAAGCATTCCGGGATATGCTGCTCCCAATGCAGAAAAATAAACAAACACAAACATGTACATACTGGGTTGGCAGCCGCTGGCCGAAACTGGAATCTTGTTGTTTCGGGTCAATCCGGTATCGTAGAACCCGCTGCCGTGGGATTGGCATAAAATTGTATGTCGATCCGTCGCTTCGTCTGTGGAAATCACTCTAGCTTCCGAACGAAACGAAGAAGGTTGATAAAATTTTACTCAAATGCGTATAATGTCTGGTATTGAAAATTGGCCATGTAGGTCCACGTCTTCGTATAGCCCCCATATAATGATACCTCCCGATATTCGGTATTTTGATGATTTCAACGACAATATTCATCGGAATTGTTTTAAATTTGACATTTGAAGTTCGTAATGAATACTGTATCCTAAGGCCAAAAATTGTCTGTGTAGGTCCACGTATTCGTATAGCCCCCATACAACAGCACCTCCCAATATTTGGTATTTTGATGATTTTAGCGACATTATTCATCGGAATTGTTTCAAATTTGGTGTTTGAAGTTCGTAATGAATACTACAGCCTAAGGCAGAAAATTGTCTGTGTAGGTCCACGTCTTCATATAGCCCCCATACAACAGTACCTCCCTATATTTGGTATTTTGACGATTTTAGCGACATTATTCAACTGAATTGTTTCAAATTTGGTATTTAAAGTTCGCAATGGATACTACAGCCTATGACAGAAAATTGTCTGTGTAGGTCCACGTCTTCGTATAGCCCCCATACAACAGTACCTCCCGATATTTCCTATTTTGATGATTTTAGCAACATTATTCACCGGAATTGTTTCAAATTTGGCATTTTAAGTTCGTAATGGATACTGCAGCATATGACAGAAAATTGTCTGTGCAGGTCCAGGTATTCGTATAGCCCCCATACAACAGTACCTCCGGATATTCGGTATTTTGATAATTTTAGCTACATTATTCAACGGAATTGTTTCAAATTTGGAATTTAAAATTCGTAATGGGTACTGCATCCTAAGGAAGAAAATTGGCTGTCCAGGTCCACGTCTTCGTGTAGCCCCCATATAATGGTACCTCTCTTCTTTCGGTATTTTGATAATTTTAGCTACATTATTCAACGGAATTGTTTCAAATTTGGTAATGAATACCACAGCCTGTGACAGAAAATTGTCTGTGTAGGTCCACGTCTTCGTATAGCCTCTATATAATGGTACCTCCCTCCCTATATTTGGTATTTTGATGATTTTCGCGACATTCCAAACTATTTTTTCCATAATTTACAACCATTGTAATTGTTTCGAAAAACATTCAAAACATTTTCTACGTTTTTTTTACGTTTCGTAAAAAATCTCCAATTTTTTTTTTTTTTTTTGGTTTTGAAAAATTCAAGTTTTTATTTTCGATAAATTTTTAGAAATTCACCATTGCCAATTTGCTTTGTTTGGTTTTATCCTTGTTCTTAATCTCCACCCACCCACAGTCCTGGGCAAATAATTTATGCACACACACACATACACAGACTTATATACATATCAATTAGTAGTAGTATTTGTTTTGTTGTAGTAGTATTGATAGATTTTATCGTTATTGATTTTTTGTTTGTTGCCCACAATCAACTATTTTTTGTTTCATTACCTCTCCTTCCTTCCTTCCATCCATCCTTCCTCACCACCCTCCGCGCCCAACCTGTCTTCTGCTCTGGTGGTGGTCATGCACAGTTGCGTTGTGATGTTGTACCCAAAACCGTTGAAAATTTTCGTGCCCTGTGCACGGGCGAAAAAGGATACGGCTACAAGGGTTGTACATTTCATCGCATTATACCCGATTTTATGTGTCAGGGTGGTGATTTTACGGCTCACAATGGTACCGGTGGCAAGTCGATATATGGCGCAAAATTTGAAGATGAAAATTTCACCCTGAAACACGAAGGACCCGGCATACTCTCAATGGCAAATTCGGGTCCCAATTCGAATGGATCGCAGTTCTTTATATGTACGGCCAAAACGCCATGGCTGGACGGTCGTCATGTGGTGTTTGGGAAAGTCATTGAAGGTTTGGAGGTTGTGAGACAAATGGATGAATTGGGCCGGCGTAATGGTACGCCGAGCAAGAAAGTTGTCATAGCCGATTGTGGTCAGTGTGATGTGAAAGTGTAGGGGAATACTACAAAAAAAAGCGAACTTTCCTGGTGTACATATCATAAATTAGTTAGATGGATTGATTAATTTGAATAAAAAGAATGGAAAAACTATTTTGAACCACCACCTTTATTATTTTTGGAGGAGGCTTTTTCGTTGGAAGTAAAGCAAGAATTACTTTGAAAATTCCTTGGCTATTGTTTTATGAAAGATAGTAGTTTAGTTTTTGTAAAAATGTGTGTTTGTGTTAACAAAACTAACCCCCCTCCACTGGTATCCATCCCTCCTTTCCGTAATTAATTCACATCACACATATACATACCATACCCATACCTCATACACCAAAAACCATCTAATCATGTCTTTTTCTGTGGTCCATCCATGTGTTTATTCCCTTACAGCTCCGTAGCGATGTTGTTCCCAAGACCGCTGAGAATTTCCGTGCTCTCTGCACCGGCGAAAAGGGTTTCGGTTACAAGGGATCCTGTTTCCATCGTGTCATTCCCAACTTCATGTGCCAAGGCGGTGATTTCACAAACCACAACGGCACTGGCGGTAAATCCATCTATGGCAACAAGTTCGCCGATGAAAACTTCACCCTAAAGCACACCGGCCCCGGCATCTTGTCCATGGCCAATGCTGGCGCCAACACCAACGGCTCCCAGTTCTTCATTTGTACCGTCAAGACCGCTTGGTTGGATAACAAGCACGTTGTTTTCGGCCAGGTTGTCGATGGTATGGATGTTGTCAAACAAATCGAATCCTATGGTTCTCAGTCGGGCAAGACCAGCAAGAAGATCGTTGTAGCCGATTGTGGTGCTTTGTAAACATCTTCACAGCCTGCCCCCCTCACACATACTGCTGCTGCTGCACAGAACTGCATTCGATGGCAATGCAATTTGTGTAACAACAACAACAATAGCAACACACAACAACAACAACAACTATATTTTAATAATTGTAATTTTAAGAAAAGAGAAGCAGAAGATTTGATGAATACAACAAAAGGAAGAAGCATTTAAAATTCTCTAAGAACAAAAATAAACAAAACCTTTTGAAGTGTTGTAGGTGGTTGGTGGCCAGCCGGCCGAGAGATAGAGAACAGAGCTGCTGAGGAGAGGAGCAAGCGCGGGATTGAAATGCATGGATATTGTATATTACATGGCATTTCCAATACGCCAAGAAAATCAAATCAAAAAAATCCCTTGAAAATGCTTGCCCCACAACACCAATACCCACCACCTCAACACATCTCTCATTCCTTTCACAACCCAAAAAATTCTAACAAAATTATCAATTTAATGAAATGAAATATGCTTAAAGTATAATAATTATATTAAAAAAAAAAAAACAAACAAAATGTTCTCTTAATAATAATTCCCCGCGAAAAAAAGGAAATTCTTTTTTTTATTATTTTACAAAAATAAAACATTCTACTTTTTTTCCTGTCCAAAAAAAACGAACAAGCTTTGTTGGTGTTTTTCTTTTTGTGATATGCTTTTTATGCCCTAAGTTTGTCACTCCGTTTTGTACAATTCGATGTCGATTTAACGATGTCCGTACGTCTATCCGTCTGTGGAAGTCACTTTAGCTTCCGAACAAAATGCAGTAGGTTGATGAAATTTTACTCAAATGTGTATTAGGTCTGCAGGACTTTTGGTATTGAAAATGGGTCATGTAGGTCCACGTCTTCGTGTAGCTCCCATATAATTGAACCTCCCTATTTTCGGTATTTTGATGATTTTAGCTACATTATTCACCGGAATTGTTTCAAAATTGGTATTTGAAGTTCGTATTTAATACTACAGCCTATGACAGAAAATTGTTCGTGTAGGTTCACGTCTTCGTATAGCCCCCATACAACAGTACCTCCCGATATTCGGTATTTTGATGATTTTAGCGACATTATTTACCGGAATTGTTTCAAATTTGGTGTTTGAAGTTCGTAATGGATACTACAGCCTATGACAGAAAATTTTCTTTGCAGGTCCATGTCTTCGTATAGCCCCCATATAACAGTACCTCCCTATATTCAATATTTTGATGATTTTAGTGACATTATTCACCGGAATGGTTTCAAATTTGGTATTTGCAGTTCATTATAGGTACTACAGCCTATGACAGAAAATTGTCTGTGCAGGTCCACGTCTTTGTATAGCCCCCATATAAGGATACCTCCATTTTTTGGATATTTTGTTGATTTAAGCCATATTATTCACCCGATTTTTTTCAAAATTGCTATTTAAAGTTCGTAATTAATACTATAGCCTATGACAGAAAATTGTTTGTGCAGGTCCACATCTTCGTATAGCCCCCATATAATGGTACCTCCCAATTTTCTATATTTTGGCGAATTAAGTAACTTTATGCACCGTAAATGTTTCAAATTTGGTATTTGAAGTTAGCAATTGGTACTACAGCCTATGACGGAAAATTGTCTGTGCAGGTCCACGTCTTCGTATAGCCCCCATATATAGGTACATTATTCACCGATTTTTTTTATTCGAGTTTCCCATTTGAATATTGTAATGGTTTATGACAATAGTACATTCGCTATTTTTAAGATTTTAACAGAATTTTTAACGGATTTTATGTTTTTGAAAATTGCCAAATTCGTTCAAATGGGGTGGAGGGTATTTAATGTTCGACCCGGCCGAATTTACAGCTTTTTACTTTTTTATTCTTAACACCTTGTGTATTCCTGGGTTGTCTGTATATCGTCTGTGGGGGTTTCTTCCACAACTCAATTGATTCAAATTGAATTTTAATTAGGCCAAACACTTGCCTCGGGGTGAGTGTGTGTGTTTCTACGTTTGTAATAAATTCCCAAGATTAATAATTAAGATATTGTCGCGGTTTATTAATAGGAATATTTGTAAACTACCAAGACAACGACGACACGTGTGGACTTGTTAAAGACTCGGTATTGGCTTGAAAACTTTCGATGCGAAAATGTCATTATTAGGATTTAATTACTATTTCAAAACAAAAAAAAAAAAGAAATATTTCAAAAAAATCCAAAGTATCTAAAAAAATTAAAAAAATGTTTTAAAAAAAGAAAATATTAAAAAAAAAAAAACATTTCCAAAAAAAATTGAAAAAAAATATTTCAAGAAAAAAATTTAAAAAAAAATATTTCAAAAAACTTTAAAAAAATATTTAAAAAAAAATTTGTTTTCAAAAAAGAAAATATTTCAAAATAAATTTTTTTATCAAAACCAGTAAGGAAATGTCAAAAGTCGGGCGGGGCTAACTATATGATACCCCACAACAACAAGGTATATTTAGTAGAGGTCCCGTAACAAAATAATTTATTTTAAGTAGATCATACCACCACCTATCAACATTTGGCTTTAAGGGTGATATAAAAAAAGAAACTGCAACAAAGTCAAACGCGATAATTTTTACATTTTTTTTGTTTAATTTCATTGAATGAAAGCAAAAAATGTCGGAAATAGCATCAACTTTTAGAATAAATTTAGATTTGTTCGAATTGGTCACCTTTGACACGAATTATGGCCTTCAAACGGCCAATGAAACCGTCGCACACTGCCCGAATGTTGCTCTCTGTGGTATTTTGGCCCATTCCCGGTGAAGCACTTGCTTGAGTTGATCGACACTTTGGTATTTTTTTAGTGTCATCCTTGCTTTCCTAAATACTCCAGATACAAGAGTCCAACGGCTTGGTGTCCGGAGATTTTGGTGACCATTGTGGGCTGGAAATGAAGTGAGGGACATCATTTTGTAACCATTCTTGGGTGGCACGTGCTGAGTGCAATGGTGCTAAGTTCTGTTGGAATGTCCAAGGTCTGCGGTCAAAATGCCCATGGCTTCAATGCACCCTTCAGAATATTTTCGCGATAATATTGGGCATTTATTCTGATGCCACGGTCGATTCCATGTTACAAACAAATGCACAAAGACATAATATCCTTACCACTATGTGGAAACTTTTCTATAAGAATATTTTTTGTTTTTCAACGATGAAGAATTATTGAAGCATACTTTCAGGCGTAAACATTTCTATTTTACTTCAAGCCAAAACGCAGACATTTTTTTGATGAAGATTTGATTTAATTTTTATACCCTCAACCTTAAACAGGTGGTATATATATTCATAATCAGCATAAAGTCCTAAGTTGATTTAACGATGCCCGTCTGTCTGTCTCCTTAAATCACGATACAGTCCACATTATTTGACTTAGAGCTTCAAAATTTGGCAGAAAAATTTGTATTGTGTCTAGGATGATTGGTATTGAAAATGAGATATATCGGTCCATGTTTTGATGTAGCCACCATATAACGGTACCTTCCGATATTTGGTATTTTTATGATTTTCGCCACATTTTTTCCACCGATTTGTCTAAAATTTGGTATTTGTAGGTCATAATAGGTTCTAGATCCGGTGGCGAAACATTGTATGTATAGGTCCACGTTTTGATATAGCCGCCATATAACAGTATCTCCCTATATTTGGTATTTTTATGATTTTCGCCAGATTTTTTCACCGAATTGTCTAAAAATGGGTATTTGTAGGTCATAATAGGTTCTAGATCCGGTGGCGAAACATTGTATGTATAGGTCCACGTTTTTGTATAGCTACCATATAAAGGTACCTCCCGATGTTGGGTATTTTGAAAAATTTTGGCACGTTTTCCCACGGAATTGTCTTAAAACATATATTTGAAGTTCATAATGGGTTCTAGCTCCGGCGGTAGAACATTGAATATATATGTCCACGTTTTCCTATAGCGCACATATAATGATATCCACCGATATTCGGTATTTTGATAATCCAAGTCACATTTACCCACGATTGTGTTTCAAATTTGTTATTTAAGAAGATTTGGTAGATGACAATCCTTGAAGTTTACAATCGTCTATAGAGGCCGGCCGAACATAAGGTTTTTATTTTATTAAATGTTTTTGAATGATTTTGCCATAAACAGCAGCTGGTAGAAGGAAGTCTTTTAATCGAGCAAAAGGTAGGCTTTTCCTGGCGAAGAACAGCCTCTTCCAGGAAGTGATACCTGCCTTTCCATAAGACTGCCATACCCAACAGCTGGTACTTATCCATAGACCTTTTAAGGGGTTTTGTGGTTGTAAAAATGTCAAGAGAAACACTACCATTTCGTTTGGTTGTAGCTGAGATTCTCTATACGGCTCGAAGGACCAAATGTAAAAAATGAGAACAGCAAAAATACCACTTCGTTAGGGTGTAAATTCAATTCTTTATTCGGCTCGAAGAACCCAATGTAAAAATTCTCTATTCGACTTAAAGGACCAAATGTAAAGACGGAAAGAAAACACTACCACTTCGTTAGGGTGTGAGTTCAATTCTCTTTTCGACTCGAAAATCCCAATGTAAAATGAGGAGAGAAACACTACCGCTTCATTCGGGTGTAGATTCGATTCTCTATCCGGCTTGAAAGACTAAATGTGAAGACGAGTAGAGAAACACTACCGCTTCGTTAGGATGTAGATTCGATTCTCTCTTCGCCTCGAAGAACCTAATGCAAAAATTCTCTATCCGACTTCGAGGAGCAAATGTAAAGGCAAGAAGAAAAAACTACCGCTTCGTTAGGGTGTAAATTCAATTCTCTATTCGGCTCGAAGGACCCGATGTAAAAATGAGGAGAGAAACACTACCGCTTCGTTAGGGTGTAATTGTAAAAATGACAAGAGAAACACTGCCGCTTCGTTTGGGTGTAGATAATTCTGATTTTATTTAAAATTTTTTTCTTTAAGTACTACTAAAATGAATTTAACTTAACCTAATCGCAGTCACACAAAGTATGTCCGATGCAGACATTTTCACTTAATAATTGGATGTTAAAAATCCATTTTTTTCGTAACTGTGTTCCATGTAATAATCCCCTGTTTTGATGTTCTCCAATGTGCCCCTCCCGTGTTCACCTGATCTGGAAAAAAATACAAATATTAATATTTTTCTCCAAAAAAAAAATCTGTTTTTCCTTGCAGCTACGCTCAGATATTGTGCCCAAAACATGTGAAAACTTTCGTGCCCTCTGCACTGGCGAAAAGGGATTTGGGTATAAGGGTTCGGTGTTTCATCGCATTATACCCAGATTTATGTGCCAGGGTGGCGATTTTACGCGTCACAATGGAACCGGTGGCAAGTCGATATATGGTGAGTGCTTTCCCGATGAGAATTTCCAATTGAAGCACACCGGTCCCGGTATTCTCTCCATGGCAAATGCCGGGGCAAATACCAACGGTTCGCAATTCTTTATATGCACCGCAAAAACGGAATGGCTGAACGGCAAGCATGTGGTATTTGGCAGTGTGATCGAGGGCATGGATGTGGTAAAGAAGATCGAAAGTTTTGGCAGTGATTCGGGCAAGCCGAGCAAGAAGGTGGTCATTCAGGATTGTGGTGAAATTAAATGAGCGAAGGAGAGAGAGAAAGAGAGCAACGAGAGATGTTATTTTTTTATCATTACCCTTGTTGACATTGACTTCATTTGCATTTTTCAATAAAAAATAAAGTTGTGGAAAATCTTGATGGCTGGTTTCCATTAAATCTCACTAACCCAGTTTTGATTTCATCCATTTTTTGCATTTAAATTAGAAAAGCTTTCCAGGCTTGGCAAATTGTTTTTTAGTTTTTTGGTATTTTACTAACACCTTGAACACATTTCCAGTTACGCAAAGATGTGGTGCCCAAGACCGCCGAGAATTTTCGCCAACTATGTACGGGTAAAAAAGGTTTCGGCTACAAGGGCTGTTCCTTCCATCGTGTCATACCGAATTTCATGTGCCAGGGTGGTGATTTTACCAAAAATGATGGTACTGGTGGCAAATCGATTTATGGCACCACATTCAAGGATGAAAACTTCAAACTTAAGCACACCTGTCCCGGGGTATTGTCCATGGCCAATGCTGGTCCCAACACCAATGGGTCGCAATTTTTTATTTGCACCGTGAAAACTCCCTGGCTGGATGGCCAACATGTGGTATTCGGCCAGGTCATACAAGGTATGGATGTTGTGAAGAAAATTGAATCCTATGGCTGTCCAGAGGGTCGTCCCATGAAGGAAATCATTATTGCGGACTGTGGGGAAATGAAATAGTTTGAAAATTAAAATGTTAGATATTGTTGAAAATATAAAAATTAATTGTTACAGATTTTAAAATAAAAAAAGTATTACCAAAAAAAAAATAAACACTATCCCATGGAATTTTTTGTTTCATTTTATGCTTTGCTTCCCATTTCCAGCTGCGTGTTGATGTTGTGCCCAAGACTTCGGAGAATTTCCGGGCCCTGTGTACGGGAGAAAAAGGCTATGGCTACAAAGGTTCCACCTTTCATAGGGTTATACCAAATTTCATGTGTCAAGGTGGTGATTTTACCGCCCACAATGGTACCGGTGGCAAATCGATTTATGGCGCCAAATTTGACGATGAAAACTTCATTTTAAAACACACCGAGGCCGGCACTTTGTCAATGGCCAACTCAGGACCCAATACAAATGGCTCTCAGTTTTTTGTGACAACTGTGAAAACCACATGGTTGGATAATCGTCATGTCGTCTTTGGCCATGTCGTTGAGGGTTTGGATATTGTCAAGAAAATCGAATCGATGGGTAGTCAATCGGGTAAAACCTCGAAGACCATTGTCATCAGTGATTGTGGTCAGCTGTAAGAAAACAGAAGAGAGTTTTTTGATACAAATAAAAATGAGAAACAGATTTGACAAGAATTATATATTTAATTTATTTACAGGTGGCTATTTGCAGGCAGGGCTATTTCGAGCTGGAATCTGCCATTCTGGGCAATAAAAAAAAATTAAGAAATCAATTTTTGTTCTCAATAAATATCCATCGACAAACTAGCTTGGAAGTCTTTGAGTCGTCGGGGAGTTAGATATTTACGATATACTTGAGTTCGGGGAGTAAATCGGCAAAAATCAGGAAAACAATAGGTCAACTTTAAGGAAGTAGAGTGAGAAAATTTTTGCATTAAATCAAAATTGGCTAAAAATATGTATGTAATCACTTTATAGGGAACTTTACAGAGGCAGTGTCACTAGCAGTTGGTATAAAAAATCTTACGAATCAATTTTTGTTCTCAATAAATTCTTAAAGGGGTAAAATGTCGAAGACCATTGACATCAGTGATTGTGGTCAACTTGAGGAAGAAGAAGTGGAAAAACTTCTATAAAAATGAGAGATAAATTTTAAAATAATATATATTTAATTTGGTTATAGGTGGCCAGATGGATGGATGGATTGAAGAAATCAATTTTTGTACTCAATAAATATTCATCGCCAAACTGGCTAGGAAATCTTTATCGTTGAGGAATCTGATATTTTCAATATACCTCAATTGGTGGTTAGTAAATCGATATAACCCACGAAAACCATTGGTCAACTTTAAGGATTAGAGTAAGAAGTTTTTATACAAATAAAATTTTTTTTAAAAATATGTATTTAATCATTTTCTAGGTAACATTACAAAGGAGGGTCACTAGCAGCTGGTATAAAAAAATCTTAGGAATCAATTTTTGTTCTCAATAAATTCTCAAAGGGGTAAAGCGTCGAAGACCATTGACATCAGTGATTGGGGTCAACTATGGAAGAAGAAGAAGAAAATTGTCTATAAAAATAAAATTGAGAAATAAATTTTAAAATAATATATAATTAATTTATTTATAGGTGGCGAGTTGCAGGCAGGACAATTTGAGGGTGGAATGTCAGTCTGGATTATTAAAAATTAAAAGAAATCAATTTTTGTTCTCAATAAATATTCATCGTCAAACTGGAAAGGAAATCTTTATCGTTGAGGAATCAGATATTTTCAATATACCCCAATTGGTGGGTAGTAAATCGGCAGGAACCACGAAAACCATTGGTCAACTTTAAGTATTTGAGTAAGAAGTTTTTATACAAATAAAAATTTGTTAAAAATATGTATTTAATCACTTTATAGGCAACTTTACAGAGGCAGGGTCACTAGCAGCTGGTATAAAAAAATCTTAGGAATCAATTTTTGTTCTAAATAAATTCTCAAAGGGGTAAAACGTCGAAGACCATTGACATCAGTGATTGGGGTCAACTGTGAGGAAGAAGAAGTGAAAAATCGTCTATAAAAATCAGAGATAAATTTTAAAATAATATATATTTAAAATATTTATAGGTGGCCAGATGGATGGATGGATTGAGGAAATCAATTTTTGTTCTCAATAAATATTCATCGACAAACTGGCTAGGAAATCTTTATCGTTGATGAATCAGATATTTTCAATATACCCCAATTGGTGGTTAGGAATCAAATATTTTTAATATACCTCAATTGGTTGGTCAAATTTTAAGGAAGTAGAGAAAGAAATTTTTATACAAATAAAAATTTGTTAAAAATATGTATTTAATCACTTTCTAGGTAACCTTACGGAAGCAGGGTCGCTGGCGGCTGAAGCAAAAAATCTTACGAATCAATTTTTGCTCTCAATAAATTCTCCAAGGGGTAAAACGTCGAAGACCATTGCCATCAGTGATTGGGGTCAACTGCGAAGAAGAAGAAGTGGAAAACCTTCTATAAAAATTAAAATGAGAAATAATTTTTAAAATAATATATATTAAATTTTTTTATAGGTGGCGAGTTGTAGGCAGGACTATTTGGGGCTGGAATGTCAGTTTGGATTATAAAAAATTAAAAGAAATCAATTTTTGTTCTCAATAAAAATTCATCGACAAACTGAAATGAATTGAAAGTCGTTGAGGGATCACATATTTTCAATATACTCGAATTAGTGGTTAGTAAATCGGCAACGAAGACAACTTTAATGAAGAAAAGTAAGAAATTGTTTATAGTAAATAAAAATTAGTTAAAAAAATGCGTTTAATTAATTTTATAGGTAACCTTACGGGGATAGTGTCAGCGGATGGTACAAAAAATTTTACGAATCAATGTTTGTTCTCAATAAATTCCCGAAAATGTAAAACTTCGAAGACCTTTGTCGTCAGTGATTGGGGTCAACTGTAAGGACGGAGAAGAGGAAAATTGTGCATAAAAATGAAAAGTAAATTGAACAGGTGAAAAAGCAGTATGTTCTGCCGGGTCGAACTTTGAATACCCTCCGTCATTTGGATTGAATTTGGAAATTAAAAAAAAAAAAAAATCGGTTTAAACATCTGTTAAAATCTTATATAAATCGAATATAGCCGTTATATTGGGGTCTATAGGAAGACGTGGACCTGCATAGGCAACTTTTGGCATAAGCCATTACATTTTTTTTATACGAAACTTGAAAAAAAAACTGGTAATAATGTAGCATCATCATTAATATGCCGAATATAGGGAAGACCTGGACCTGCATAAACTATTTTCTGTCACAGGCAGTAGTACCTATTAGGAACTTTAAATACTAAATTTCAAACAATTTCGGTGAATGTTGTACCTAAAATCGTCAAAATACCGAATATAGGGAGGCACTGATATATGGGGCCAATACGATGACCTAGGCTATTTTCTGTCATAGACTGTAGTTCCCACTACGAACTCCAAATATGAAATTTGAAACAATTTCGATGAATTATGTCGCTAAAATCATTAAAATATCGAATATAGACAGATACTGTTATGTCGGGGCTATATGAAGACCTGGACTTTCATAGACAATTTTCTGTCATAGACTGTAGTTCCCATTACGAACTCTAAATTTGAAACAACTCCGATAAATAATGTCCCTAAAATCGTCAAAATATCGAATATCGGGAGTTACCGTTGTATATGGGCTATACGATATGGTGAACCTAAAAACCTGGACCTGATTAAAAAAAACGTCTAATATGGATTTTTAGACTATTCCATTGGAAAAATGTAGCTAATATGTCAAAATACCGATTATAAGGAGGTGCCGTCATATGGGTGATATACGATATCGCGGACCTATATAGAAAATACTCTTCCAAGGGGTGAAGTATTTAGAAGGAACTCCGTTTGTGGATATTCAGACAAATTTGGCTACAATCATCAAAATACCCAATATTGGGGGAGGTACCGTTATATGGTGGCTATACTATATCATGGAACAATCTTCGTCTGCAGACAATTCGACTTCGTCTGCAGACAAAAGACTGATCTGTGCAAAATTTTGGCTTCCCATCTTTATTCGTTTTGACTCTATCGTGATTACAACAGACGGACGGACAGACCGATGGACAGGCAGGGCTAAATCGTCTTAGAATTTTACGCTGCTCAGGAAGATATACCTTGTTGGGTATGACATGAGTATTTCGAGGAGTTACAAATGAAATGACAAAGTTAATATACCCTCCATGGAGGGCATAATAATCGTTAGACCTCTTCGGATTAGTTACCATAATATCGTTAAACCTGGTTGGGGTCCTATCATCTCTTTTCCCTGGATTGGAGACTGATTTTACTGTTGCCCATAATTTACTTGTATCGATTCGAATGTGGAAACACTCCCCGTATTACAAACTCTATTTGTCCTTATGCTTCTCTACCAAACAGTTGATCTCCAATCTCAGTTCCCCGATTCTAGAATCGGCACCGACGAAGCTCGCCACGTTCATTCCCTTGTCAGATCATGCTGTTAAACTATATGCCTGGTGAGAAATGGCAGTCTCTTTTATCTAGGCCAGATCGTTCCAATTTTATTGGACAAAACGAGGAGCTTTCGATAAGTTCAGCCAGTCCCATGCCTTACTTGTTATAACCTAGCATGAAACGTCATAATTCATGATACACATTGAAAATTCCCAATTGCATATCTGTTGCTGATAAATAGGCCGAAGTAGAATTGATTGATTTTTATGAGTCGAACTCGTTTATTTAAAAATAAATAAATATAAAATAATAAATACGAAAATAATTTATAAACAATAAATATTCTAATTAGCTTCTTCAACATTTATTTTTTTCTTCTTTTCAGATGCAGCTTTTGGCATTAGCAAGGCCAAAATAGCTGCCACCACCAGGGCTATTGATGAACTGTAAAGGGCCTCTTCACAATGAGTCTCGATGAGGGCACCCAGCACATTACTACCCGTAACACTGCCAATGCGTCCAACCATTAGGGATATGCAAACAGCCATGGCTCTGAAGGGAAAAAAAAACGGAAAACAATAAATTTTTGTTCTCAATAAATTTTAAACAGGGGAAATTGAAACTCACCTCAAACTGGTGGGAAAAATATCCACCACAATGGCATTCATGACATTTGTTCCCAGGCCGGAACACAGCATTATTAAAAATAGATAAATCGATACCATGGGGTCTTCGACCAATAGGCTCAGGATTCCACATAGTCCGCAAACGGTTAGGACAATAACTACAAGAAGAAAAGGAATATTAGAATTAATTTTTTTCAGGATATTTTAGATGTAATACATACACAGAATGGGAATGCGGTTAAATCTGCGGTTGGCATATATGACCAGAAGTAGAAGACCAACATAGATAAATTCCAGCGATAGGGTATGTTTATAGGTATCAATTTCCAGTTTGGTGACACAAATTTTCTCAGCTACTGGAAACTGTGAATAAGGAGAGGGAAAACGTAGCTATAAAAAATCTGTAAAAAATAAAAGCCAAACCAAATCCTTACCTCTGCGTCTCCATCTAAAGTAAAATTCGAGGATTGGGCAAATCTTAAAATATCACAAAGCCTTTTCGGTTCATCGTATTTGGCCACATATAAATTAATGTTATTGAGAATATAGGGGAACCACATATACACTCCATGGGCGGTGAAAAATGTGGTGAATAAAATGGCGGAGGAGAGAACAGTTTTGCGTATGTGCTGACTCATAAACAGAGGTGCTGTTTGATTCCATATCACCCGACATATTGAGGTTAGAGATTTCTTGTCATTTGTTTTGGTCTGCGTATCCACAGCTGGGACATCGGCCAGGTCCGGTAGTAATGTGGTAATCTAAAAAAAAGGATAATTTTTATTAAATTCTACAAAAAAAACTTCTCCGGGAAGAACTTACCTCAAAGCTCTCATTTTGTAGTTTTTTATTTGACTGCGTATTTTTCTTGTGCATATAGCGCAGCACGTCCAGGGCTTCATCATGCCTATTGGCGCCCAACAGATATTTGGGACTCTCCGGCAAATAGTGGAAAATAATACCACACACCAGACCCGATAGCCCACAAACTATGAAAAATAAACGCCATGGTCTATAGGTTATGCCCAGCAGGGGCACCTCAAACTGCCATTCTTGATTGATGAATACCCATGCAATCAAGGGGAAGAAAATCGCACTAAAGGCTGCAATAAAAGATCCATAAAGCACAGCCCGATTACGATGTTTCTCGCAGTGAAATTCTCCCACATAGGCATAAATGGTAGCAGAACTACCGGATATACTGAAAAAAAGAAAGCGAGAAATAAAATATTTTAGAGAATTAGAATTTGGATGATAAGAGACATGGGTATCCAAAAAATGACGCCGTACAGATGTTTACCTACAAAACGCGAAGCAGTAATCTGGCTTTACTTTTTAATTAGACATAATTGTGATCGTGGAGCAAATCCCCCCTAATTCTCTATTAAAGAAGATGCCACCACAGATTTGGCAGACATAAACTTTTATATTTTAATCTTTGTGTGCTACATGCTTTACGGAAGACTCTAAATTGTCATTGTTTGAATTATTTTTAGACAGAGACTCTAAGTCGCCTCGAGTTGCTCGCCTTATCTTTGTTAGCCTAATAATTGAGGTAAACGGTCGCTTTAGAAGAGATTTGGCTTTATTTAAATAAAAATTTGCATTTCACCATTGAGGTATTTCATCAGGGTACAACTGGAATCACACCATGGTTGTTCCATAAATCAGACAGGTGGACAGAAATAATTATCTACGAGAAGCAACAATTGAGGGGACTTTTGAGGCCAATTTTCAAGGCAAGAGGTTTATGGTTTGCCTAGAAGGATATGTATGTGATTTATGGTTTGCCAAGGAGGATATTTATGGGCAATCTGAAAAAAAGCTCTTAAAAGCTCATGGGTCAAATATCAGCAAAGATCAATTTTTGTTCTCAATAAAAAGAAACGCTGCAAGTTATCGTAAGCAAGTCTATTTTTGGTGTCTGGAATTTGATTTGCCAAAAAGCACATTTTTCTTTCCGGATAAATACTCCAATTTGGCACTGTACATGCATTATATTAAGGTGGTTACCATGGTAGAATTAAGAGGTTAACCACGTGTATATATGTTTAAAATTTTTTCAGAACTATAACTTAGACCGGATCTCAATTTCGAATTAATGTCAGATCAATTTTTGTTCTTAATAAAAAAAGAAACGATACAAGTTGTCGGATTTTATAACCGTTTTGGTTATTCAAAACTTCGACCCATTGTGGGAGAAGTACCCGAAGAAATGGTCCAATCTCTACCATCTGTATAACAGATCTTGTATTTATGGAAATATTGAGATGTACTAAGTCTAAATGGAATCGGATGTTAATTTCGTGTTTTATAAGCCTATTTCGGATTTTATAATCGTTTTGGTTATTCAAAACTTGGACCCTTTGTGGGAGAGGTACCAGAAGAAATGTTCCCATCTCTAACATCTTTTTTTAACAGATCTTGTGTTGATGGAAATATTGAGATGTACCGATGGAATCGGATGTTGTTTTCGGTTTTTTTCTGCTTCATGGCTACTCAAAATTTTAAATCTTTGTGGGAGAGGTACACGAAGGAGTGGACCGATATATTCCATCTGCACACCAGACGTTGGGTTAATAAAAATATTGTGATGGGTGTAATTTGAAAAGAACCAGATGCTAATTTCGGATTTTATAATCGTTTTGGTTATTCAAAACTTCGACCCTTTGTGGGGGAGGTACCAGAAGAAATTATCCGATCTCTACCATCTTTATAACAGATCTTGTATTTATGGAAATATTGAGATTTACCAAGACTTAATGGAATCGGATGTTATTTTCGCTTTTTATGAGCTTCATGATTACTCCAAATGTTGACTCTTTGCGGGGGAGGTACCAGATAAATAATGAGATGTGTGTAATTTGAAGAGAATCTGATGCTTATTTCCGTTTTTATAATCGTTTTGGTTATTCAAAACTATTACCCTTTGTGGGGGAGGTATCAGAAGAAATGGTTCGATCTATACCATCTTCATAACAGATCTTGTGTTTATGAAAGTATTGACATGTGCCAAATCGGAATCGGATGTTAATTTCGTGTTTTATGAGCTCCATGAATATTCAAAATTTTTACCCTTTGTGGGGGAGGTACCAGAAGGAGTGGACTGATATATTCCATCTTCACACCAGACCTTGGGTTAATAAAAATATTGTGATGTGTGTAATTTCAAGACAATAGGACACTTACATCATATTTTAGAAAAGTTATAATTATTTACAATTTTGACCCTTTGTGGGGGAGGGTCCGATATTGTTCATTTTCGCACCTGACCTAGCACTGATGCAAATATTAGGATTTGCAAAGTTGGAGCGAAATTGGATTATCCTTTCCCTTTCTGTGCATTAAATTATTTTCTTTGCAAATGTTCATATTTTGTGGGGGGGGGGGGGGGGTGGAGGTACCAGAAGGAGTGCACCGATACTGCCCATCTACGAACTCAATCTTAGTTTGACAATAATATTACGATGTACCAAGTTTGGATCAAATTTGATACTCCTTTCGAGAGTTATCGTGCGCAGCAGCCAGACAGACGGACATCGTTAGATCGACTTTAAATGTCCTGAAACGGTTTCGGTCCAAAGAGATCTATTGTTTCTAAACGGTTTTTTCGATTAGGCAGGTTTTGGCCGTATCAACATCAATCCTTTTCTCTGCAGGATAATCTAGTCTGGACACCAATCAATTTTTGTTTGTTCTCAATAAATTTTTAAAGACTACGACTGGATGTCATTGATAAAAATTTCCCATTAGGTCACCACAATCCCTTCCTTGCCCCAAATCGAATGAATCAAATTTTGTTCTCAATAAACTTACGAATCAAAATATATGTCTGCGATCTCATATACTTACAATATGCCATTCAAAAACCGCAGAATCACCATCATTGTAAAATTAACCGAAAAACTGGAAATCAAAGTTACGGCAAATCCCAGGAACAAAGTTGGCTGCATAATACGTTTACGACCCATGGTGTCCGCCAGCAGACCCCAAAAATGTGAACTAATTATAATGCCCAGAAAACATATGGCGCCCAATATGCCCTGTTCTTGGTAGGATAAGTCGAGGTCACACGACACCACGGGCAGGGCAAAACTCATGCCAACCGATTCCAAGATGACATTGTTCAATACCGCACCAGAGAAGACAATAATTTGGGTATTGAATTTGCCAAAATCTGCAGAAAGTAAAACCGGATATTAGGACAGGATTTTAGATAACATGGGCATGTTTCAGAACAGGCAAGAATCTAATAGTTTTGCAATTTTCATAAGGGGAAAATTGGAAAAAAAACTTTTACATTCTTGCAGTTCTGGCACAGATTAATGATTATTTTCAAACTCACGAGTTTTCTCTAAGGCCTCATCAATGGTGGCAACTTTTGTGGCCTCCACCTTAGTAGGCTCCTTTTTCTCCATTTTAGTTTCCGATTTATCCATTTTGAGATTTTTGGAATTTGAATTTTTTTCTAAAGCTTGATCTCGTTTTTGCAGTCTTCGAGGAGAATTTCTTTTTGTTTTTTTTTTCTAATGCGCCACCACTTTCACTACATTGCCCTTGGAATGATCACCGATGAGAAGTGTGAAAGCTTTTCAAGCGCTTCAAACATTTTATAGTTTCTGTCCAGCGTCTGTCATTGTGGTGGCGCAACCAAACCACACAGGTAGCAGCGTTCCCCTTGATTATCTCGTCGTTTTTTTTTATTGAAGTGTTTTTCTCGGATTTGCCTTTACAGGCCCCCGTTATTAGACGGAACGTATATAAACCTTTTTGTGAAGGTTTTATGGGGCCTGCTAAGTCCCAGGTAAATAATTAGACAAGAGAACAGACAGTAATCAAGTTATTTTTGCACAAAAAACATGAGATTACATCAGATTACATGATGGGAAAACAAGTGTTTTTCGTTTGTTGTTTGGACCCGTCATAACTCTGTTGCCAAGTCCAAAAGAAGAAAAAAAATAATACCTTATCTTAAGAAAACCTATTTCGAGACATATATTGGACCTTAGACAATTTATTTATATATTCTACAATGCGGGCCGATTCAGATAGTTATTGTTTGTTGCAGGGATTAAATAACTATTATTTTTAACAAAATCTTGTTTTTAATGTGTCGCTCGCTATTTTTGGTTACTAGTAAACAGATCACTAAACCTTTATCTTCAGACATCGAGAAAACCGAAAATAATGTTTGCCCACCATGTCTGGCACGTTTTTAGGAAAAAAAGTTTATCTCTTCGAAATTTCTTAAAATAAACATCAAACCCAAATAATCAGATTTAAAGGTTAAGGTGCAGTTGCGAATCTTAGTTATATTTGCTTACGATTCCCTATAAAGGTTAAAAATAAAGGAGAGGAGTTTTCTTCGCGTCAACCACACTACCGATCAATCAAAAATAAAAGAGATTAGACATGAAATCATGCAATAGTACGATTACAATTTCTTTATTTGATATCCCTTCATTTTCCGATTTATGTGTCGTAGTCCATCCTTAAATATGGGCGTACAACTGGAATGAAATTTACAATAATTTCCAACCAAATATTTTGAGATTTTCCCATATTCTCAATCTATCAAGGAAAAATATAATCTAAAACAGAAAACTAAAATATAAGCCCAAGAAGTAGTATCGGCAGAAGACTGAAAGAGTACATGGATGCACTTCAATAAATGCGGACTTATGGTGAGAATACATAAAACTGGCTTCTTCGTAAAAGAATAAACGAACTTTAGGTTTACTTAGCTCAAATTCGGACCATAATTAATACTTGTTAATCCTACGCTCAATTATCCTTATATGCCGAAGACTTATGCCAGTCAAAAACGCGTTTTATGTATCCTCACCTTTAATCCTATGGTGAAAAGTGCGCCTTACAAAGGCAAATCACAGTCTACAGAAACGAGCGTCCGGAAATACATTCCTACGATCAAGGTTTAAAATTCACTAATTGGAACTTCCGATAAGATAAAATACTTCGGAATCATCCTGTATGATATATTTGATTTCTGACGACGCGTGGGCTATGCACTGTAAAAAGCCAAAAAAAGGATCTACGACTGTCGGAGGCAGTTCCGGAAGTGAGGAAGACACTTGGCGGATGTAAAACTGTTTATCTATTATTCCGAGTTTTAGTTTGACATAGTTCGATTTTGGCCCTACGCACCTTTATTCTTTTCCGAAGAAGCCAGCCGTTGACTTTAGTCAGTCAAAAGAGCGTTTTATGTATTCTCACCTTAAGGATATGGCAATGAAAGATCTTGGCATCGTGTTTAGGAATGAGACCAACAATTGGTAATGGAATTTACAGATGATCGCCCAACAGGAACATCTATAACTCTATAGAATTCAGATCGATCGAAAGCTGGGAATACATAAAGCGCTTATTTGGCTGGCTTAATTCAGAGGCTGGCAAAGTAGTTTTAGGTTGATTTAGTTCGATTTTGCTCCTTTGTTCATTTTCGAAGAAGCCAACAGATGACTTAAGCCCGCCAAGTAAGCGCGTTATGTATTCCCAACCTTAGTCTTCATGATGAGGAATGACATTAACTTTCTAGAACAGAACCAAGCCGTAGAAAATAGGATAGTGCACCAATTCTTGGAATGCCAAGAGCAAGTCCCCTGCATAAAAAGAAGGATGCACCTGCCGCCCGCAGCTTCACTAAAATTACGCAACGAAGCAATACTATACGAGTTTATGCAGATACCTGTATGAATTTATTGTTAAGACACGTGGTCCGTTCTATCCGTTCTTCATATCCAATCTTTTGTTAGTAGAAATATTGGGACCTATGAAATTTGAAGACCAAAGAAGCGGGTCGATATTGCTCCATTTCCCACCTGTCGAAGACCTGATGCAAATATTAGTATTTATTTTGAAGCAGCTAACGAAGTTATGTCCACTACAGACTATGCGAATCAATGTTTAGAAATAATTAAGAAAAAAACGTGCAATTTGGGAATCTTCGGGACCCCATGTCACAGGAAGTACACGTTAACTAACAAAATATATATAAAATTAATTTAATATAATTTAATCAGGATAAAAAAGGACGATATCCGGAATAAAATTCTCAATTTGTGGATGGAACAGACTATGTAATACCTTTAACTATTTTGAATATTTGCCACAAACAATTCATTTCATAAAATTAAATGAATATTTGAATAGTTTATAAATGTAAATAAACAAGTCTTTTTGTTGTGACAGTTCATTTGAACGATTGTATTTGACAAGCTCAGTTACAGAAAATGCAAAAAGTTGGCTTCTTGATTCTACCATGATTTTGCCATGGTTCTACTATTTTTTTTGAAAAGTTATTCCCAAAAAAATACATTTTGTAGAACCTTAAAAAACATATTTTTTTGAATCCTCGTTCTACTGATTCCTTAAAAAATATTCTTATTAAAATCCAGGTTTTGCAGGCGCTGGAAACAGCCTTCGAAGAGAATTTATTTCTTTCGATTTTTTTGAATAGTTATTCCCAAAAAATACATTTTGTAGAACCTTAAATAAAACATATGTTTTGAATCCTGGTTTTACTGATTCCTTAAAAAATATTCTTATTAAAATCCAGGTTTTGTAGGCGCTGGACAAATAGCATTTTGAAAAATTCACGTTTTGCTGGTCCTTGATGAGACACTATTTAAAAAAAATTCAGGTTTTGTAGACCCTTGAAAAAATATATTTCCGAAAAATCCATGTTCCGTTGGCACTTGAAAAAAAAAACGTTTCCTAATTCTCGTTTTAAAAAATCTACGTTTAAATTGCTATCATTTTTTAGTTTTAAACAAATTTAAAATTTTCAAAATGTTTCCCATTTCGCCTTTAAATTTTTCCCATTTATCTTTTTAATGTTTGACTTATTTTTGTAATATTTATATGGAATATCAACATTTGTCAACATTTACTGTCTTTGAAAAATACTGCAGAATGTGTAAACGCCTGCTAAGGCAGCAAATGATCTAAGGATGTGAACATGGCATTAATACGTTATGTTATTTACTCTTAGTGTCCTCTAGTGTAGCATAGTAATATCATGATTAACACTGACAACAAATAAATTGATATGCAGGTGTCTATGTAGAGTTTTTTTACATATCATGCTATTACTATTTACCAACAGATGCCGCTGTTTTAAAAAGATTTTGATGCTTTTTAATGTGTTGAAAGGCATTGAGACCGTAGATAAAATTGTTTTATTACTTTTTTTTAAAGAAACGTTCATCTGTTGTCGTCATTTATGGCTGAGATCTGTTTATCGCGTTACAAAGACGTTATCTTCTTGTTATCTTTATCAATTGTATTTCTTCTTAGCATGTTTCTTCCATGGTATATTCGCGTATATGAGCAATCATTTTTTTCGAGATTTCGTGTTAAATCTCACAGCCCAAGATAAGAGAGACAGTGATCCATTTTTCTCCAGAATTTATGAATAATATACTATGGAGCAAAAATATAGCACATGCTTTTTTCAACGTGTGGTTTTGGTAGCCTGAAACATTTTTTGTGGACAGATAGTTAGCACTAAGTGCCAAAAATTTTTGACATAACAAAAAAAAAAAAAAAAAACAGTAAGGAAAAGTCAAAAGTCGGGCGGGGCCGACTATATGATACCCTACACCACTATGCATATTTAGTAGAGCTCCCATGACAAAAGATTTTATTTGATGTAGATCATACCACCTATCAACCTTTGGCTTTAGAGCAGTTATAACTTGGTTTCAGAGGGAACTAATATATGAGAGGCATATCCGATTCTGAATCGATTTTCACTAAATTTGACGGGACATTTTTATATTTTATACCAAATAACATTGCTATAGAGTACATGATATTACTTCGAAAGGGAATAATATTAAAAAAATATATATCGGAGCCGAGTTCCACCAGACGAAAACGTGCGTCCCGAAATTCACTCCATTTAGGCTGATTTAGTCATTATTTGCACAATGAACCTAAAATCGGATTAAGGATATTTATGGGAGCTATATCCAAATCTTACACGATCTCGATAAAATTTGGCAAAGGTCTTTCCGAGCTCCATAAGATATCTGCTACCAAATATCACTGTTGTCGAATGCATATCACGAATGTGAGGGACGACTTAAACACCAAATCGGATGAAACATATATTGGGAGCTATAGCTATATCTGAACCTATTTCCTCCAAATTTAATGTTCTCACTTCTAGACTTAATTCGGTCGGATGTGCCAAAATGCAGGTCATTTGGACTGATATTGGCCATTTGGTGCACAATTTACCCCGAAATCGGTTGAAGATATATATGGGAGCTATATCCAAATCTTAATCGATCTTGATAAAATTTGCCAGAGGTATTTCTGGGCTGTATCTGATATCTGGTACCAAATATCATTCTTGTGGGGTTCATGTTACGAATGTGAGGGACCTAAACACCAAATCGGATGAAACATATATATGACAGCTATGGCTATATCTGAATCGATTTTCACCAAATTTGATGTACTTGCTTCTAGCCTGAATTTGATCGGATGTGACAAAAATCAGGTCATTTGAACTGATATTGGCCATTTGGTGCACAATTAACCTGAAATCGTTTGAAGATATATATGGGACCTATATCCAAATCTGAACCGATCTTGATAAAATTTGGTAGAGGTATTTCTTGGCTGTATCTGATATCTGGTAGCAAATATCATTATTGTGCGATGCATATTACGAATGTGAGGGACCTAAACACCAAATCGGATGAAACATATATATGGCAGCTATAGTTATATCTTAACCGATTTTCACCAAATTTGATGTCCTCACTTCTAGACTTAATTCAGTCGGATGTGCAAAAATTCAGGTTATTTGGGATGATATTGGCCATTTGGTCACAATTTACCCCAAAATCGGGTGAAGATATATATGGGAGCTATAGCTATATCTGAATCGATCTTGACAAAATTTGGTAGAGGTATTTCTGGGCTGTATCTGATATCTGGTACCAAATATCATTCTTGTGGGGTTCATATTACGAATGTGAGGGACCTAAACACCAAATCGGATGAAACATATATATGGCAGCTATAGCTATATCTGAACCGATTTTCACCAAATTTGATGTACTTGCTTCTAGACTGAATTCGGTCGGATGTGCCAAAATTCAGGTCATTTGGAATGATATTGGCCATTTGGTGCACAATTAAACCGAAATCGGAGGAAAATATAAATGGGAGCTATATCTAAATTTGAACCAATTCTCACCAATTTCATTGGGGTTCGTCCTTAGGCCAAACAAATATTGTTTGGAAAATTTCATTTCAATCGGATAAGAAATGCGACCTGATTTTTTTTCACAAGAATACATGGACAGATGGAAGGACGGGCAGACGGTTTGACATGCATTAATCGACTCAGAAAGTGATTCTATGAAGATCCTCAAAAGTAACTATGGGTCTATCTCGATTCCTTCTCCATGCCAAAAATTCCAAGCAATTTTCTTCGAAAACATTTAATTTTATTTCCCTGCTATTTTTCTCACCCCAACTGTGCTAAATGTTATAATAAATGAAAAATATGATATAAAACACAATCCCCTGTACATTTTAAATAAAATATGTCTAAAGTTAAACACACTTAGTTAAGAAGATAACAAAAGAAAACACAAAAACCTCAAAAAGAGATTACGACTTCCAAAGGCGACATTTCAAAATGAGCAGCGGCTGGGAACGCATTCGTTTACGGGTGGAGACTGGTGAGGTAAGTAAATGCATGCATGCCTGTAATGCAAACCCAAACTAACTTTCGATTTCTTTTTTTTTTTTTTTTGCAAATCTCAAGAATCTCAAAGCTGACACAATGAACAACAATCGCACCATATCCTGTCACGTCCTAGACACAGCCCTTGGCAAAGCTGTGGCCAATTTACCCCTAACTCTCTATCGACAATTAGACGGCGGCCAGTGGCAGGAATTGTCTCAACATTCTACCAACTCAGATGGTCGTGTTGGTCAGTTATTGGATTTTAAAGATTTTGAAAATGGCTTTTACAAATTAAAATTCCATGTCCATAACTATTTCGACAGCTGTAAGGTGTCGAGTTTTTATCCCTTCGTTGAGATTGTGATAAGATGTGAACGAGGCCAGCATTATCATGTGCCATTGCTGCTATCACCATTTGGATATACCACCTATAGGGGAACATAAGTGAAGGAAAACAAAAACCACAATAAGTTAAACAAACAAACAAAAATTTAAATAAAAAACAAAAACACCAATAACAAACACTGAAATTTTCCATGTAAGTTGTTTGAAGAGTTTTTTATTTAAAATGGAATGTAAATTCTCACTACGGAGGTGTTTACGCCAGATTTCCCACAAATTTCCCAAAAATTTCAACAAAAATCATCGAAAAATACCTCTCAAATGAAACCCCTTTTATGGGGGCTATATGAAGACGTGTTCACGAACGAACTTCAACTACGAAATTTGAAACAATTCTTGTAAAAAATATCGCTAAAATCATCCAAATACCGAATATTGGGAGGTATGGTTATATGAGGGCTATACGAAAACTTAAACCTGCATAAGTGATTTTTTGTTATAGGCTGTAGTACCCATTACGAACTTCAATTACGAAATTTGAAACAATTCTGTTGAATAATTTCGCTAAAATCATCAAAATACCGAATATCGGGAGGTACTGTTATATGGGGGCTATACCTAAACGTGGACCTGTATAGACAATTTTCTGTCTTAGGCTGTAGTATCCACTACGAACTTCAAATACCAAATTCGAAACAATTCCGGTCAATAATGTCGCTAAAATCATCAAAATACCGAATATAGGGAGGTACCGTTATATAGGGGGCTATACGAAGATGTGTTCCTCCATAAGTAATTTTGGCATAGGCTTTGGTACCCATTACAAACTTCAATTACGAAATTTCAACAATTCTGGTGAATAATACCGCTAAAATCATCAAAATACCGTATATCGGAAGGTATCGTTGTATGGGGGCAATACAAGAGCTTGAACCTGTATGTAGGATTTTTTGCCATAGGCTGTAGTGCCTATTATGAACTTTAAATACAAACTTTTGAAACAATTCTTTTAAAAAATGTCGCTAAAATCATCAAATCTACGAATATCGGGAGGTGCCGTTATATGGGGGCCATACGAAGACGTGGACCTGTACAGACAATCTCCTGTCATAGGATGTAGCATCCATAACGAACCAAATTTACCAAATTTGAAACAATTCCGGTGAGTAATGTCGCCAAAATCTTCAAAATACCGAATATTGGGAGGTATCGTTATATGGGGGCTATACGAAGACGTGTTCCTTCATAAGTAATTTTTTGGCATAGGCTTTGGTACTCAATACGAACTTCAACTACTAAATTTGAAACAATTCTGGTAAAAAATGTTACTAAAATAATCAAAATGCCGAGTATCGGGAGATATCGTTGTATGGGGGCTATAAGAAAACTTAAACCTGCATAAGTGATTTTTTTGTTGTAGGCTGTAGTACCCATTACGAACTTCAACTACAAAATTTGAAACAATACTTGTAAAAAAATGTTACTAAAATCATCAAAATACCGAATATCGGGAGGTATGGTTATATGGGGGCTATACGAAAACTGGAACTTTTATACGCGATTTTTCGCCATAGGCTGTAGTACTCATTACGAACTTCAATTATGAAATTTGAAACGATTCCGGTTAATAATATCGCTAAAATCATCAAAATACCGAATATCGGAAGGTATCGTTATATGAGGTCTATACGAAAACTTAAACCTGCATACGTGATTTTTTGTCATAGACTTTGGTACCAATTACGAACTTCACCTATGAAATTTGAAACACTTCCGGTCAATAATATTGCTAAAATCATCAAAATACCGAATATTGGGAGGTATGGTTATATGGGGGCTATACGAAAACTTAATAGTACATACGCGTTTTTTTGCCGTAGGCTGTAGTACCTATTACGAACTTCAGTTACGAAATTTGAAATAATTCCGTTTAATAATATCGCTAAAATCATCAAAACACCGAATATCGGGAGGTATGGTTATATGGGGGCTATACGGAATCTAAAACCTGCATAAGTGATTTTTTGTTATAGGCTGTAGTACCCATTGCGAACTTCGACTACGAAATTTGAAACAATTCTTGTAAAAAAATGCCGCTAAAATCATCAAAATACCGAATATCGGGAGGTGTGGTTATATGAGAGCTATACGAAAACTTAAACCTGCATACGTGATTTTTTGTCATAGACTTTGGTACCCATTACGAACTTCAAACACCAAATTTGAAACAATTCCGGTGAGTAATGTCGCCAAAATCATCAAAATACCGAATATCGGGAGGTATGGTTATATGGGGGGGCTATATGAAGACGTGTTCCTCATAAGTAATTTTTTGGTGTAGTCTTTGGTACCCATTACGAACTTCAACTACGAAATTTGAAACGATTCTGGTAAAAAATGTCGCTAAAATCATAAAAATACCGAATATCGGGAGGTATGGTTATATGGGGGCTATACAAAAACTTGAAGCTGCATGTACGATTTTTTGCCATAGACTGTAGTGCCTATTACGAACTTAAAATACAAACTTTTGAAACAATTCTTTCAAAAAATCATCAAAATTGCGAATATCGGGAGGTACCGTTATATGGGGGGCCATACAAAGACGTGAACCTGTACAGACAATCTCCTGTCATAGAATGTATCATCCATTACGAACATCAAACACCAAATTTGAAACAATTCCGGTGAATAATGTCGCTTAAATCATCAAAATACCGAATATCGGGAGGTGCCGTTATATGGAGGCTATACGAAGATGTGGACTGGCACAGACAATTTTCTGTCTTAGGCTGTAGCATCCATTACGAACATCAAATTCCAAATTTGAAACAATTCCGGTGAATAATGGCGCTAAAATCATCAAAATACCGAATATCGGGAGGTGCCGTTATATGGCGGCTATACGAAGACGTGATCCTGCTCAGACAATTTTCTGTTTTAGGCTGTAGTATCCATTACGAACTTCAAATACCAAATTTGAAACAATTCCGGTGAATAGCGTCACTAAAATCATCAAAATACCGAATATCGGGAGGTACCGTTATATGGAGGCTATACGAAGACGTGTTCCTACATGGCCCATTTTCAATACCAAAAGTCCTGCAGACATATAATACATTTGAGTAAAATTTTATCAAACTATTTAATTCGATCGGAAGCTAGAGCGATTTCCACAGACGGATAGACGGACGGAGAGACGCTAAATCGACATAGAATTTTATGCTGATCAAGAATATACATACATTGTGGTGTCTAAAATGTATATTTCGAGCTGTTACAAACGGAATGACAAACTTAATATACCCGCCATACTATGGTGGAGGGTATAAAAAAATGACTTCTGAAAAAAATCACATTTTAAAAATATTCACCTAAAAAATCTCGATTTTCGGGGACGTTTGAAAAAAAAAATTCTTTAAGAAATTCATTTTTGAAAATCTACTATTTTTTTTTTTCAAATTTTAAACAAAATTTTTATATTTAAAAAATATTTTTTTCTATTTCCATATTTTTTTCCAGCTAAAAAATCTCGATTTTTGGGGACCTTTGAAAAAAAATTCTTTAAGAAATTCATTTTTGAAAATCTACTATTTTTTTCAAATTTTAAACAAAATTTTTAAATTTCCAAAATAATTTTTTCCATTTTTTTCCTTTCCGAAAAAATCTAAAATCATCCAATCAAAAAAAAAAAAAAAAAAAAAATAGATCCAAATTTGTTTTGTTTCAACATCGATAAAATTGTTATCACAGAAATTAAATATTCGCCCAAAAAATCTCGATTTTTGGGGACCTTTGAAAAAAATTATTTAAGAAATTAGTTTTTGAAAATCTACTATTGCTTGAATTTTTAACAAAATTTGTACATTTTTAAAATTGTTTTCCCATTTTTTCCGTTAATACCAAAAAATGTAAATTTTCCAAACCAAACGAAAAAAATAGATCCAAATTTTGTTTTGTTTCAACATCGATAAAATTTTTATCACAGAATTAAATTAAAAAAAAAAAGAAGGATAGATAGAAGAATTACAACAAAATAAGAGTACTTAAATTTCAAATCGACACCGTTACAATAATAATTGTTTTTTGTTTTTAAAATATAGTAATAATAATTATATAATGGGCGTTATGCTTACTTCCATTTGCTGAGAATGCATTTTTTTGTTTTGTTTGAATTTTTATTTGCTATTTTGTGTATTTGCTTTTATTTTAAATAATTGTTTTTTTTTTTAATTTTTTTAAAGTTTAAACATAACAATTGTTTTTTTGTTTTAAATTAATTAAATATATATGCTTGTTCTTTATACAATTGTTTTTTTTTTTTTTTTTTTTTTGTTTAGTTTCTTTAATAAAATGACATTTTATTTTAGTTTTTTGTTTTAAATAATTTTTGTTTTTTTTTTTTGTCTACATCAGTTCAGTTTCTGTTTTCTCAGTTTTCGAAGAAATTCAATTTCAAATTTCAATAATTTTGTGTTTGAATTTTAGTTGTTGTTTTTGTTTTTTTTACTAAGTAACAATGTTTTGGTTATTTTTTTTTGAGAGAGGGAGAAATAGAGGAGTGGATAAAGGGATATTTAGAATAGAGAGGGGATAATATTAGTTAAAAGGGGGGCTGGCTTTAGAGGCTGGGGTCTTAGAACACGTTTAGACTACTAAATCCCTGCTACTAATTCCAAATATCAATTCCATAGTCTATACGTCACGTAAATAGTAGTCATATTATTTGATATATGCTCTATTAAATTGACATTTCAGATCGAGTGGATTTCGTAAATCCAAAACGTATTTTTATAGGTTGGGATGGGGATAGTTTTTTTTTGTTTTCGGGGGGAATATTGTTTTATGCCGTGTTAATATTTATAATAATAATTATATATATTTATCTTTTCTTTAGTTTAGTTTAGATTTTCTCTTTTGCATTTTAATGATAATAATGTGTTGTGATTTTCAATCTTGTCCGTCCATTAGTGGGCTTGCCCTCATCAACTCCTGTATTAATTTTTATGCCTAAGATCGCATACATTTTCTTTTGAAATCCGTTTTTCGTTTCAATCCTCAATTTATTTGGTTTTTCTTTAATATTATTCTTCTCCTTACTCTTCTGAATTGGGGAGTTGTTATTGTT